ACCTCACGAGTAGAGGGTTCACATGCCTTCTCAAGAAGTATATACAGCCTCAACCGGCGATATACTGACTGTCTGGGCCGAGTGAGGCATGCGGCACATAAGCAGATCGATGCTCTAGTATATGAGGTTAGACATGACCAACTAAACAGCTTTATATTCTGCCAATCTTTTCTATACTCGCAGATTAACCAGAGAGCTTCACACTACGCAATCAATCGTGTCCACGATCAAGTTAATATAGCTAAGAGAGCTACATCCCTTGCCCCTTTACCAGAGTGCTCTAATAGCTTCACTAGGACAATGGGCCTTCCATGTGCCCACCGAATCGCACGGTTGCTAGAGAAAAAGCATCCTATTCCATTAACAGATATTCATCCTTTTTGGAGGCAAAATATAGCACCAGACAATCGATCTGAGTACCTGCCACTACTCAAACCTCGATTGCCTATACCGAAGGCAAAAAGATCAGATAAAAAGGGTGGAAATCCAAAGGTAGATGTCGAAAAGGGGACTCCAACTGCAACTGCAACGGGCAAGAGAAAAGCGCCTTCTAAGTGCTCGAACTGCGGGGTAATTGGGCATACAATCAGATCATGTAAAGTAAAATAATTCCAATCAATCTGCATGCCAGGTTGAGGCATCTTAATCATATAAGAATTGGCCAAACTATCAATGCCATAATAATTAGTTTGGGGGTGTGGTGAGATTACATAACGACAAATATTACATAATCAGTTGTGGTGTGGCTACTAAAAACTTGTGGTGTCCCTACTAATTCCCCATGAATTGAGGTTCTGATAGATGGATTTTTTAGAGGATTAACTTACATAATCTTAAAGTTTACGTAATCGCGACGGACCCGTCGCTCTAACTTAGTTAGTGGGAGCCCATGAATTGTGTTGGATTAGCTAAAAGGTCCGGCCAATCAGATTGACAAGATCATTAGCCAATCAGAGCGAGCTACACACTTAACAGAGGAATCTACCGAATAGGGGTTAAAAGGCATCTCTCGGACTTTCCTTCATTTTGGTACTTAGAAGACAACAAGAATCACAACAAGGATCAAGGATTCCCCATCTTTTGTCATACATAATTTAATACGTTGAGATATACCGTTAGAGATTGTTACATACAATCCAACAAATTGCATGTATCTAGCGCACTAGTGCCCTATACGGTTAGTCCCTCCGGGCGTAATAAATCATCATCATCATCACCTGGCCGCCTGAGTATCTCAAATCGCTGAAAGCCTGACATAACGTTGCTCGCGTCAAATATCATCTACATTCTGTTCTTTGTTCTATCTTCGGCATGCCCAAACATGTCTGTGACACTACCTAGCGTCGTCCTCGTCCCGGGGGCTTGGACTGCACCCAAAGCATACCACAAGCTGATTTGTGCCTTGGAGGCGAAAACTTTCAAGGTTCACGTTCCGGCCTTGCCAACGAATAACGGCCAACAACCTCCAAACTCTACCTTCGATGCCGACATACAGACTGTTTGCGAAGCCGTACAGCCTCTGGTCGACGCCGGCCAAGAGGTCATCATGCTAATGCATTCATATGGCGGCATTGCGGGAACCAGCGGTATCAGAAACTTCACCCGCAAGGACAGACAGGCGAGGAACCTACCCGGTGGTGTGGTCAGTCTCATCTACGCGGCCGGATTCATGCTCAGCGAAGGCCAGACGATTCGAACAGTGGTGCAAGCCGTCAACCTCCCCGGAAGAAGCTCACTCGTGAAATTCAGCATCGACAACAGCACTTGGTTTCCCATAGACCCCATCTGGCTCCTGTATCACGACTTGGCACCCGATGATCAAGAGGAGCAGGTCAAGCTGTTGAAATGGGGCAACGCTGCGATTTTGACTGGGCAGACAACCTACGCTGCATGGAAAGACGTACCGACGCTCTATATTCGATCGTTGAAGGATCGTTGGCTGCCGCCCGAGTTCCAGGACTTCTGCCTCCAGAACGCAGCCGATGTAGGAGCGCCTGTCCGCGTCGCTGCCCTCGATTCTGGTCATTCGCCTTATATCAATTTCGCGGCTGAGTTGGCTCAGATGACTTTTGAAGCTGCGATCGATGCACAGGCCCATTTATCATAGGTTAGATGTTTGGTGCGTAGAGTGGGCATGATGCTATTCTCAAGTGCGATAGAGCTCTTAGGCTTTCGTTGTCAGAATGACACGATTAAACTAGACCTCTTCAAGTCCCATGGGACCTGTCCATGGGCGGGCGGATAGAGCTGTCCATGGACAAAATTCCCATGGGAATTTCCATGGGACTAAGTGTAACAACTGTTGCAAACTCGGTAATCTATCCAGGCCTTACCGGATTGGGAACAAAGTATTGGCAAGGATCGTGGATCTTGTTGCAAGCCTCATATTGTAGGCGCGTGATGCCTCTTGTTAGATAATATGAGGTGTCGAATCGACTTCGAGTCGGCCCCTAGTTGGCTAGTTGGTCAGCCAATTAAGGAAAGACACGTTTTATAGCGAGGGGCTTGGATTCTTCGATATAGAGGAGAATTCCCCATGTTAGAAATAGACAGAGCGAGGAATAAATCAAGAGATACGCTGACATAGAATTGGCGAGTAAAAGGAAGTGTTACCGTGTTATTACACCGTTCCACATCTCCAACAACAACCAGCAGACCTGACAGACTCGTTACAGTATGTATCAGTACCTTACCGGCATGGTGGGGAAAGTGTGGATACTTCAGCTACCTACCTATGGTCAAAGTCAGAGTTGTCATCAATAATATCGTTGGTAATTGTCGGAACGTGAATATCAAACCTAGCGCGTTTCGGCACTGGATATCAGTTAGTCTAACGCGGCACGTGCGTGCCGCGTATATATGTAGTTAGCCACTCCCCGTCCCCCTTACTCTTGGGGGGCAGTCATCAATATCAGGAATTCCATACCATATTGATCAGGCTCGTCAGCTCGTCGGAATAGCTGTTCTACGTGACTAGTGCTAGCGACCTAGACGTAGATAAACCGACACTGATCAGTGGCCGCAGATCAGACATTTATCTACGAGCCCCTATTCCAACGTTAGTGCAAGCGTCCTAACAAAATACACTTTCTTCGACACCCTACAGTATACGTTCACTCGTATATCGACTCACCGATATATTCGACCCCATATATCGACTCTTTTGTGAACTCTTTGCTGAGTCTTGCGAACCTACGAACTCCCTGTACGAACCTACGCACGAAGGATTATTCCTGTACGAATTCTACGCTTAGATCCCCCGTATAAGCCTACGTCACGAACCTACGCTAGAGGCCTACGCGAGAAAACTCTCGGTATTAGCACTAGGTAGGAATCAACGTAGTGAGCCTACGGATTCGGACTTTCCGTCAGAATCGACCTGCAAGAACCTGACGTACGAAGCCTACGTACAACCTACGGTGTGTCGACCCACGCACCGAACAACGCACCAAATCTCTGGATCTGGTCTCGCAGATACAAATCATCAAAATGGCAGGACAAAGTGGCAACGATACCGACCAGGCGATGACAGAAAAGAAGACACTCGACGCTACCGTCAAGGCGAAGATAAAAGAATATACGAACACGTACGATTCACGTCTGTTAAGAGCGTTCAAACAAGACTTCGATAAGTGGACTTTGAATAACTTCAATACCGTGTCCGTCATCGAACTCGGGAAACTAGTTGATTTGCTTCAAACTAACGGTGTATATGTTACCAACGATGAACAGGATGATGAAGCTAAAAAACTCTATACTCTACTCTCTACAGAAAAATATCACCCATGGACTAAGGAGGAAGTCATTCGCCACCTCAGACGAGGCAATACAATTGAGTTGAAGGTGCTCAATGATTAATTCGAAACAGTGATCAATACATATAATCAACCCTCAAACTACGGCACTAATGAGGCACAAAACCAAACTGGAGAGGGACCCCTCACAAGATCTTGAAGTCAACAACAAATCCAATATCTTTCACCCCCGGCAATAAGACATGATATACCACAAGATCAAAGTCAATGGGTGCGAATTGAGCTAGAGCCATTAAATGAAGTCTAACAAGCCCCAAATTTGGCTATCTTCGCACCGTCAACACAATCCGTTTCTCAGGCACTTGTTCAACTCACGAAGATGTATTCAGACAACCAAAAGTATAGTGGAAATGAGGATTCCTACAGGTCAAAGCTTCGAATCTTCAACGACTACTGTGAACGTCTATCCCTACCAAAGAATGCGTATAAACTTGTTTTCCCAACAATGCTCAAAGGCCAAGCCTTGGATTTTTACTATGACAACAAGGAAATATGGGAAGCAAGTGACCGTGATCCCGTTGAAGGAATTCGTGCCTATTTCGAAGGCCCAGAATATCATCGAACCGTACTGGATAAGTGGAGCGGAATTTCGCTTCAAAATACAGTCGATGAGAACCCAGAGAAGACATTAAAAGTGTGTCTCAACATGATGCTAACAGAACTTACAAGTTTATACGACTGCCTAGCTCCAAAACTACGCAACAAAGAATTTTACCTTGCAAGACTTTTACAGGCAACTCGTACACATCCAGCATGCCAACTTGCAACTTTAAAGCAACAAGATATAGTTCCTGGACTAACCCGCGATTTACAATCAGGTGTCAGCCAGTACAAAGACATGATAAAAGCCACGAATGGGCACCGCACTGCAAACCCCAGCACCAACACATACTTTACAGATCGACGGTATTATAATCAACAGTCACGCTCACCCTCTCAAGGCCATTCACCACGACAGCACTCCAATCAAAGAGGCAGGAAAAAGTGCTTCGTATGTTAAAAACCTGACTGCTGGTTAACACGTCACACGCCCAAGGAAAGAGCCGATTCGAAACGCCGTTATTTAGACCATTTTAACAAGCGTATCAATCAATATATTGCTGATTACGAGGGCACAGGGGATGACAACAATGAGGAACTGCCAGAGGAACTCTTATTAGCTGCCGATGACCTTATTTTGACAGATAATTATGAATCTGGACCTACACACGATGCCTTGTCAACCCTGTTTACAGCCACATTCTTTATAATGCACAAAGACAATAACACGAACCATGGTCTATCAATAACCATGGAACTAGCAAACCGTTCTGCTTCGCACTGGATTGCCTCACTATTCCTGAAGCCTGACTTGGAAACTGATTCGTACAAAACCAACGAAGTAACTCTTAAGGTTCTGACCCCCAAGTCAAGTCACGTCTATCTAAATGAGGGCCGCTATTCGTCAGAAAGCTTTAAGGGTATTATTATCAACACTGGCGCCGTGCAACTCTCTACAGCCGGATATGGGCAATACCTTGCTTACAAGAGAATTGTCAGAAATATCGATATTAATACTACAACGGCTGGCACGGCAACAGTTCAATTTGGACCTAGCGATCCCTATCAGTCAATAGGGTCAATTGACGTGCCTACACCTATTAGTACTATATGGTTCTATATCCTGATAACCACGACACCATTCCTAATGTTGCTGTACGAACTCGACAGACTAAAACTCTATTTTAATAATACCTGCAATCTCCTTGTCAATAAGAAAATGGGAAAAACAACACCAGTCATTCGTCAGTTTGGCCATCCATTCCTTGTATGGGACTACTCCTACCATACCCACTTACTTACCTCATTTGACTACAACCCCTGCCTTCTTACCAATACCGAATTATGCCGTCTACACCGCCGATTTGGCCACCCTTCAACTAATAGACTTCGCCGTGTACTTACACGTGCGGGCCACGAAACCAACAAGGAAGCAATTGAGTATATTCGCAAATTCTGCTACCATTGTCAAATATACGACAAGTCACCTGGACGATTCCGGTTTACACTGCATGAAGATGTTGACTTCAATCACTCTATCATTATTGATATTATGTACCTTGATGGAGATCCTGTACTTCACATTGTCGACAAAGCAACACACTTCAATGCCGCTGCATAGCTACTAAATATCTCAACAAAAGTTGTATGGGATACACTCCAAAAGATCTGGATTAACACGTACCTAGGACTCCCAGACTTAGTTATTACAGACGCTGGAAAGACCTTTACAAGCAGGGAATTCTCACAATCTGCTTCAGCTGTAGGCATAATCATTAAAATAGTACCAATTGAAGCACATTGGTCAATTGGAACTGTTGAACGACACTATACCATGATTCGCCACTCATATAACATCATCAAAAAGGAATTACTAGATTTACCTAAAGACGCTACCCTACAGATGGCTGTCAAGGCTGTCAACGATATAGCCGGCCCAGATGATTTAGTCCCTACGCTTCTTGTTTTTGGAGCTTACCCATGAATGGTAGAATATGACTCTTCTGCACCTACAATTACACAACGTGCTGCTGCACTTAAAAAGGCAATGACAGAGGTCCAAAAACTATACGCCGAACGACAGGTTTGAGATGCCCTTAATACGCGTAACAGTCCTGCGTCTATAGCTGTACATCTTCTGCCAATAAATTCAGATGTACGTGTATGGAGGGAAGGAAACACCAGCTATACAGGAGAGTGGAAAGGCCCGTACAAATTACTAAGTGTTGAGAGCGAGATGTGCATAATCCAGTTTCCAGATGAACCAAAGCAATTCCATATAACTGTTGTGAGGCTGTATTACAAGGCACCAGATGAGAACAACCAAGACACCAATTCAGAGCATACAAATGAAGAGCCTGAGGCACCTTTAGGCACAAACTCAATACCATCTATACCTCAAGACGACGAGCCAGACACATCTACATCCCAGGCAAGGCCTGCACAGCGCCCCCAACGAAATTGGCAATTACTAGCCCGATATTAAGATAACCTCATACAATTGGTATTCGCTCAATTTGACTAATCACAAGAGAAAGAGATCAACAGCCTATTAGAAAATGGTGTATTCAAAGTGGTTAAAGTAGACAACATCCCAAAAGGCACCCGAATCTTCAATTTGCGGTTCGTCAACGAGATAAAGAATTGGGGCACCGACAAGGCCTTTAAAAAGTCGCGACTAGTCGTACAAGCCTACAACGACAAAGGGAAAGAGATCGTATTGACTTAATCACCTACAATACAGCGCTGCAGTCAACGCCTGCTTCTGTGCCTTACAATCTGCATTACTGATACTTATCTTTTTCTACGCGATGTCACACAAGCCTATGTACAGTTAACCACGCCCCTCACTTGCAACTTTTATATACGACCCCCTCCCGAACTTGTGCACCTGTTCCCTCTAGGCACAATATTGAAAGTTGTCAAGCCTTTGTACAGTATCCCTAAAGCAGGTAATCACTAGTTTCAAACCTATCACATATATCACACAGATAAACTTAATATGACAATATCCACCTACAATCTATGCCTCTTGCACTGCATTGACCAGTCACAAGGATTTGGCATTATTGACATGCAGACTGATGACACCCTCATCCTCGCCGACAACACTTTTGCGAACTATGAGGAGAATGAGATTAAACAAGCTAATATTCTCTGCAAACCACGAGAGAAGCTTACACCTTCAAACCCGTTAAAATTCAACGGTGGCCTTATTACGGAGGATGCCCAGGGTATTACTCTCACCCAGGAACGCACTTGTAAGCTCATACGGCCTGTACAAGATCGATATGCGGATACAACGAGTTCCCAAGGCAAGGTCTGAAAGGACGTATCGCCGCAGGAACAATATGTGGCTCAATGCGCACTTGGAGCCTACATTGCTTCTGTATCGCAGCCTGAGGCTTCTTTTGATCTATTGTTTGCTGCCCAGATCACAAATCCAGGAAAAGACGACATCAAGTCACTTAATAAACGCCTCCAATGGCAACTTGATAATGCTGAACGCGGATTACGCTTTGTACGTCTAGATTTGGATTTGTTATGCCTCGTAATCTTTGCAGATTTATCCTTCGCAAACAATAAGGATTTCTCCTCCCAAATTGGCTTTGTTATTGTTCTCGTAGATGCTGTAAATAACGAAAATATTGTGCACTGGTCCTTAATCAAGTGCAAGCGCGTTATAAGAAGTGTACTTGCTTCTAAACTTTATGCCATGGTTCATGGCTTCGATTCGGCTGCGTCAATCAAATCAACAACAACGCAACTTCTACATCTTACCAAGCCCCTACCCCTTGTTATCTGCACTGACTCGAAGAGCCTGTATGAATGTCTCGTCAAATTAGGCACTACCCAAGAAAAGCGTCTAATGATTGACCTCATGTACCTCCGACAGTCATACGAGCGCCAAGAAATTGCAGAGATCAAGTGGATTGACGGTGAAAGCAATCCAGCCAATGCCATGACAAAGAGCAAACCATGTCACGCTTTACAGGCACTTATCGACACAAATAAGCTTAATATTAATGTGGATGGATAGGTGGAAAGGTCTACAACCCCTCCAACGAAAGCTACACCAATTTCTTTGCTTTGTCAATCCTGTACTGCTCGTCGTCCTATCCCTATTTCTTAGAGAGTTGCCAGTGTCGGAACGTGAATATCAAACCTAGCGCGTTTCGGCACTGGATATCAGTTAGTCTAACGCGGCACGTGCGTGCCGCGTATATATGTAGTTAGCCACTCCCCGTCCCCCTTACTCTTGGGGGGCAGTCATCAATATCAGGAATTCCATACCATATTGATCAGGCTCGTCAGCTCGTCGGAATAGCTGTTCTACGTGACTAGTGCTAGCGACCTAGACGTAGATAAACCGACAGTAATCAATTGGTATTGGCATGTATCAATAATTCATCGATTATCGTTGGTACAACGTTGCCCCCGGAAGTTTCCCTAGTACGGTTTTTTGTGCAGGGATTAAATACCAATCAATTCTGCCAGTTATATTTGCTTACTAAGCTAATATTTTGTATGGCCACCTTCAGCAACAATTACAGCCTCACACCTAGCTTTCATAGAATCAATCAGCTCCTTGAGAAACTGCTCAGGTAAAGCATCCCAAGCAGCGCGTACAACCTCACGTAATCGATTGTAAGAAAGCTGCTCATCATCCGGATATTGCTCCTGTATCCAATTCTTCATCCAATCCCATACCGCTTCAATTGGATTCAATTCTGGGGAAAAAGCTGGCCAATATATTGGATATATATTCCGCTCATGAAGCTCTTTCTCAGTCTCTTTACTTGTATGGGGCCGAGCACCATCCTGCATAAGTTGAAGATATATAGATTTCTGTTGATTCAAGCGAATATATCCGTCAATAATAGGTACGGTCTTTTCACAATAGCGTTCAGAGTCAATTGAGCCCCAATCCTTCTCCCAAAATAGGCATGGGCCTTTTGTATTCCCATGAAATGAGCCCCAGAACATCCATCCACGTTTTCGGGCTGGAGATTCATGTAAGCACGTAGGATCTATGTAACAACCAACATGCTTGTCCAATCTCTTAGGGATTAGGGTTGGTTTGATACGAGGACAAACTTAACGGAGAGGAGCAAAAGTGTGGATACTTCAGCTGGTCATGGTCAAATGTTCAGCTGGCTATGGACAACTTTTAGCTGGCTGTGGTCAATGATATTTGCCACGAAACAACATCAATGTCTCTTATATAGAAAGCATGCTGCGGAAGCAGGAGAGATAGGTTTCAGTACATTGACATTCCATACCCTACCTTGTATACTCAACTCTTGTGATCCCTCTTGAATCTCTATACGTATACGTATCCCTCGTAACCTTGTTACAGGTACTTATTATCCCTGGTAAAAGCGTGGTATGTTAAATAATCATTGAGCACTGAAACCATCTTAATGCTGTTGATTTTTCTGAATTCTGTGAAGTATATTTTAAAGGGGGGGTTATCTAGAGTTATTTGAAATAAGGCTTCATGGTTTGGTTTGGCAGTCTTAGTAATACCTTCCATTCCTTTATACTAGGCCAAGAAAGAGCTATACTCTTTAAGTGTTGGTTCTACCTTAGAGATATATATAGTTTGTTACTTGAACTTATTATATGCTCCCTGTCATTCTTCCTTTAAGTATTTTATTGTCGGTTTATCTACGTCTAGGTCGCTAGCACTAGTCACGTAGAACAGCTATTCCGACGAGCTGACGAGCCTGATCAATATGGTATAGAATTCCTGATATTGATGACTGCCCCCCAAGAGTAAGGGGTGTGTGTGTGTGTGTGTGTGTGTGTGTGTGTATATTTAACGGCCGTGGTTCGTGACTCGCACGCTTCCCACCGATCCCTACTGGGACATAGGCCGCCGAGGGGTAAGCCTTGGGTTTCAGGTCCTATCAGATTTATATACAAATAAGAGACTCTTTGGCGTATTTCCATAGCTGCCGTGGTCTTACAGGGAGGTCTACTTTGAGTGGGTTTTAGGTATTTGCTAGCTGCAATGGTCTACCTACACTCCATAACCTATTACTCCACCACTATTATAACTGAATAGTAAGTTTTGCAGAGAGGGAAAGAAAGAAGAGAAGAGAAAGAAAGAAGGAGAAGAGAAATATAAAGGAAGAGTAGGGCTGTCTTAGCTAGATGCTAAGAAGAAGTTGGCGAGGGCAGATATCCTCAAAGAAGTGGGTCTCTGCTAGCCATGTAACTAGCTTTTGTACTCCTTTAGCAGTACCTAAGAGGAAAGAGATGACCTTAGAAGGGGGCCCAGGAGGCCAAGGAGCTCATCTCTTAGCTATATGACAGAAGAAGAAGTACAGAGGTGCTTTTCATACTCTACATCAGCAGAGAAGATAAGCATTATCATAGTTGAAGCGTTCATGGTAGTCTGCAAAGTCTCTATAACCAGTACGGGCCGCAATAATATGGCTAAGATTAAGTCGGTTAAGTTAAAGCTCCCCAGGGCGTTTAGGAGAAGTGGTTATTTCTAGATCTTGATAGCTCTGTGGTGCCACCTTCTCCCATTGTGACTGAGCAGTAGATAGGGATTGAGTCCTGGCGTATCTCTTTAGCAGGGCGTATGAGAATTTGTGAGGAGCAGGAGGGATTGAGGCAGCTCCCTCTTTGGCAGCGAGATCAGCCGCTTTGTTCTCAGGGATTTTGGCGTGTCCAGGGACCCATCGGATTTAGATAGATCCGCTTTTAGTGTGAGGAAGCCTTTTGCGAAGTGGCTAGGCAACTGCAAGGGTGCGGAAAGATTCAAAGATTTCTTAGAAAGATCCTATAAAGGGAGATAGAAGGCGTATAGCAACTTCTAGGTTGTCAAGGCAGATCTATAGGTTGGTAGCAAATTAAGCTGTTGGGTACACTATTGCTGCTTGAGCGCCAGCTAGAGCTGCTTCTGCTTCTGCGTTGAAGACCTCTTTCCCATGTCCGTATGAGAGTGAGGAGCAGAGGAACTGATAGTGTGCTTGAAGTCCAATATAGCCACCCCCTGCACGTCTGTCTACTAGCCTAGATCCATCTGAAAAGATTACAATATCTGAGCTAGGGATGGTACATTGAAAAGCCATGAAATTAGCCACTGCCTGTTCCTTAGTGCATCCCATGGGAGCTCCTATTCAAGCTTGAGCATTCTCACGAGGCTCGTGAGGGTGCCAGGGAGCGTATTAGAGAGGGTTTATCTATTCAGAGTTTGGGAGGGCCAGTGTACAGCGGGCAAATCGGCTGGTTTATTAGCTATTACTAGCAATCTATTCTGCGTGTCTTCAAAGTGGGTGATAAGGGTCGAGACGCTGTAGGCGGACAGTTGCAAGGAGGGCTATTCAATCTAGTTTGATTTCTGGTGGAGAGAATCCAGACTCTCGATAAAGGACTGGCTTTGGGGTTATGCGGAAGACTAGAAGGACTGCTCTTGCGCCTATTAATATTACTTTAGTTAGTTTCGCAAGATGTTCTCCAACTCGGTTTAAAATCTAGGAAGGTCCAGGGCGAGTACGTCCTGGCTACCAGGTTTCTACGCCATAGTATACTTTATAGAGTACACAGGCTGATATAGCCTACTGTAGTAAATCAGGTTTGACTCCTCAAACAGTATTCCCTAGAGAGTGAAGAGCGTTGGCCACAGTAAGGGCTTTAGATACTATTTCTCTAACATGCCATTTAAATGTTAGCTTCTTATCAAAGAGGATTCCTAGCCATCATAGATATAGCCGTTTAGTGTTTTCTAATATTGTAATAGATCTAGCTTTCACTAAAGGTGTGCGGGTTGGATTCTGGTCTGCTTTATATTAGGAGAAGTGAAGAAGCTCATATTTATCTAGTATAAATATAATGCCCTCTGCAGCGCTCCAATTAAGAGCTTCTTAAAGTGAGTCTGATAAGGCTTCGTAATTAGTAGCAAGAGATATTGAGATCGCCAGGTTGGTAGCGTCGTCCGCGTAACCAAATCTGTTCCTTAGGTTTCCTAGACGGAATAGAGGCGCTATGTAGAGCATGAAAAGAATGCTAGATACTAGGGATCCTTGTGGAAGACCGCAGGCAATGTCTGTTGAGGGGCCGATCTCTCCATCGAGTCGGATCTGAACTGATCTTCCAGTAGCGAAGGAGGCAATCCAGAGAACGAGATTGGTAGACCAGCCCTGCTCGCGTAGTCTGCAGATCAGTCTGCCAGGAAGCACGGAATCAAAGGCGCCTTTGACATCTAGGGTAAGGAGTGAGGCAGTCATGCTTTGATTTAGCACTTGTTTAACATCATGTGTTAGGCATGTGGTCAGGTCAGTTGCAGATCTTAGTGGGAGAGCCCCAAATTGTTGCCTTACTAATACTTTATGGTGTATAGAGATCTATGCTATATTCTGTGCTACTAAGCGCTCCAGTCCTTTACTAAGTACTGATAGGAGAGCGATTAGTCTATATGAACTAGATAAAGACTAATCAGTCTTTTTTGGTTTCTGGATGATTGCTAAGATTGCGTGTCAAAAGTATTTAGGATGATAATCAATCTTTAGGCACCCTTGATATAGCATTAGTATCTTATCTTTGATCAGAGGCCAGGCTACTTTGAGTATGCAGGTTGGGATTTCATCTGCGCTAGGGGCTGTGTTTCCTGCCTAAAGTACTGACTCCTCCACTTGTAGCATCGATATATCTGGGAAGTAGAGACTAGTGGAAGGCACTGCTGGGGAGTCCAGAGGTATGTCTCCTGCCTCTGCCGAGTTCTGGAGAAGATTACAGACTAGTACATCTCGTTTCTCGTGTACAGTAACTGCTAGGAGGCTGTTGGGCCTTAGTGGATCTTTTAGTGGAGGGCTTCGGAAGATGCCTGTAGACTTATGCCATTTGCTCATGTCAAAAACATTCTTCATTTATATTACCGTAGAGAGCTTCTCTCGCCAAAATTATCGTTAAGACTATCTAGTTATCCTGCGGAAGTCTATCTTTGAGCAGAGGCCTAAGTAGTAATTATATAAAGCTTTTTTGCAGTCTTCGTTCTATCATGGTTATTCTATGCCTTGTGTCATAGTCCTCTTAGCAGAGCCTCTATATGCTCCTTGAATTGCAGATATCAGTTTTTCAGCAAGGGCATTAAGATCTTCTTCTGTTGCGGCTGAGCTCTTGGTGCCAGCAAGATTAGAGGTGAGAAGCGAGAGGAAGGAGGTGTGGTCTAGTATGTCAAATCTCAGTTTCTGAGCTGTTTCCTTGTATCTCTGATCCCATGGAACAGTGGTAATTAGTGGTTGATAATCAGAGGTAGCATCTAAGTGGCTCGCTATACTAGCTTTGGCTCCTGCGAGTGCCAGAGAGCTTGAGGCGAAACTGAGGTCTAACACGTTACCCCTTTCATATGTGGGACAGTCTATGTCGGAAATGAGTACTAGACCCTGGAGATCCAGCCAGTTGATAAACGGCTCTGCAAAAGTTGTAGGGCTGCGTTGTAGCGAGGGTTGCCATCTATTGTGTAGTAGGTTGAGATCGCCTACAAATATTATTGTTTAAGGGAAATACACCTCTGGCAGAGTTATGAGAGCTTTCGTGGCTTCACCTACTCTGCTGCAGCCTGCTAGAGCATTATAGATATTAACTATTAGAGTGGACTTTCCTATAGGCGAAAAAATCTAAAAGAACAGGAGATCCGAGGCTTCTTTAGTGTCAGTTATAAAGGGGCATAGCTGGGAGGTCCGGATGCCTTTCTTCTTTCAGACATAGATGAGGACTCGTGGTCGGCCACTTATTGCCCAGCTATCAGTTGGAGAGAAGCATTCATATGATAGATATTTTTTAGTAATCTGTCAGCTGAGGTCTTTAAATATATATGGTTCTTAGATTAGGATAATATTGATGTTGCTAGTGTATGCCAATGTGAGGACTATTTCATATGTGTCTAGCGCGTGCCCTACATTTAACTGTAGGATTTTAAGAGGCGTCTTTTAAGTTGGATAGTAATAGATTATAGCTCCTATTCAAGAAAAGAGGCAAACCAGTTTTGTGGTTGAGAGATTATAAAACAGACTGCACGAGCTGTAATGGGAGGATCTTTAGTTGGGGCACGAGGTGGGGGGGTTACTAAATAGAAAGGAGAGATAATCTTATAGATTAAAGACTATGATAGTATCTCATCTAATGCCATAGGTATTTCTTGTGTGCCTATAGAGAGCTGAGAGCTATATCCTTCTTTAGTTCAAGCTTTTGCAAGGTTTATGGCGTAGGATTTGCAGATATCTGTTTGTTAAGCTTTAGTATGTTTAGTATTATCTTTGGGGCGTAGAAGGCATTCTATAAAATTAGCTAGATATAGTCTATGGCAGTGTATATATCTAGGAGGGCATTGATGAGGCTCTAGGGCTGTATAGCAGTTAATATGGCCCTCTTCAGTATGCTCTAAGGAGCCATATAGTTAGCATTGAGAGGGGTGTGCACAGGATTGTGTATTATGCCATTTCTAGCATCGTATATATTAAATAACTATTATTTTCTTAGAGAGGTGACAAGCATTAGTAATAGTGCTAAAAAGATATAGCTAGATAGGCAGTGATAATTTCATACCTTCTAGGAAGTTGATAAACCAGCTTGAGGAGAGAGTATTAGGGTTAGCAGCGCTTGTAGTGATCTCGCTAATAGATATAGGCTTAAGCCCTGTAATTTCGCTAATTTCTAAGGATAGTAGTATAGGATTGACAGGGATTAGAGAGTATTGACCATCCAAGATTTAGCCAATTTTCCTTGGCATGTTAGTGACTTAGTATAAGACCTATCAGGAGCTGCGTTCTATCTGGCAGTTAATAAAGAATGCAGAGATAGTCTCTTTTTAGGCCTTAAGGGCTAGGAGGGCTTCTGGAGATGAGGGGCATAGTGCAAAGCCAGTCTTTGTAGCTTGGACTTCTTTTAGTGCTGCACTATTTAAGTTTAGTTAAGATTATAGGCTAGAGTAGATAGCGTAGGCTTCTATTTTTCTGGCTGCATGGTCAGCTGGGAGGCGTACGAAGAGCCAGATGTTAGGAAGGGGTTGTTTTACTAGAGGCATAGGCTTTTTGATAGAGGCTTTAGGGTGAGTGATGGGAGTTAATTTGACTGGGGCATATTAGGTAATAGTTGCATAAGTTGACTGGTTAAGACCTGAGGGGGGATGTGAGGGAGGGGATAAAGGGAGTAAGGGATTTGGGGTGGAGGAAGAGGAAGGGGAAGGAGACAGAGCAGATAGAATGGAGGTCATTAAGATACCACTAATATAAGTGTTGAAATGTTGTTGAGCTACCAAGGCGAGGTCATCGCTTAGAGCGGTGAGGGCTCTTAGTAGGTGAGGAGCAAGGCCAGTGGTTTGGCTACGGTGTTTATCAAGGAATACAGCTATAGGGCTGAAGATCTTCTGTCCTTCAGAAGCTCTTGTTATGGCTGCAGACGTGGATTCCAGAAGGGCTGTCTGTAGAGGGCCGTCTGTACCAGGGCCTTTACGCGCCATGGTGTTGCCGGGCGCGTTGAGACGCGTCAAAGGCTGCACTCCTGGGAGCTAGGTGGTAGAGAGGGTTGAGGATTTTGAGCCTCCGACTGTTTGATATAAATAATTATAAGGAAGTCGCCTATCAACTCGAAAATCGTTTTTTTTGTGTACCAGTCATTGTAACAACCAGCAGGCTTTAGGGTCTAACTATTCCAAGAAATGCGCCCAATACGTCTCAAGTTGAGTTTCAGCTACACCAGGTGAAGGCTTATATGTTCGAGGATGGTTTCAGCTCCCTCGGACTGCACCTTGACTACTGGAGCTATTCAGAGAAGGGAGATCTAGTACACATTGTATATCTATAAAGATGACAGATGCTCCAGGATAGTAAAAGATAGGTTTCAGTACATTGACATTCCATACTCTACCTTATATACTCAATTCTTATGATCCCTCTTGAATCCCTATACATATCCCTTATAACATTGTTACAACTCTGAAACCTCTATCCTTTGAGACCGATCACAATGGTAGTATCTACAAGGAGAATTGCTTGTTTAGGGTCTTTGGACAGCCAGAACGACCAACAGGATAATGGAATAGGCGTTGGTTCTACTTAGGGGCCAACCGAATCTAGCGACAATACCAAAAACTAGTATGATGAAGTGGACGTCTGCTAGCTAATAGGACTCCGCGAAATGCAAGAGATTGTGGATAATCAACCACTTTCTACTGAACAACTTTGAGTCCTTACTGATAGGATTCAGGTACTTGTGAAAGCTCGTATAGGAAAACAGGCTAATGAAAGCACCAACAATGAGGACGACAGATCACGTAAACAACGAGCTAATCATGATCTTAAATATAACAGCATCAAAGAACTCAAGATAGGTGCAACCCTTAAAGCCTGGAGCAACTAGAAGATTGAGATCTAGCAAGCTTTCGATGCATCCCTATATAAATACAACAATGACTGAACCAAAGTGATTAAGGCACTGATTTACCTTCACAAAGATTGTAAAACAATGTAGAATAACTACATCTGCACGGCTTCTAACGATAAATATAATTGGGAAGCCTTTAGCACCTAGCTCGACTTTACTATTTGGGACCAAGGAAATGACAAAATTAAAATGCAGATTGAGTAGAGTAAAGCCAGACAGAGATTTAATTAAACCCCTTAGGCTTTTAATGCTTATCTTATAAGCCTTGAGAGAGAAATAGAACCAAAAAATGAATGAACACAGGCAATGGAATTCTTTAGTTGATTGCGACTAAGTTTACAACATGCAATCTGACTTAGTGGAATTAATCTATTACCTTAGACATGACAAGCAATGTTATCCCTTGCTACACGTATGTGGGAGGAAATTAAATATGATGAAAAGGACCCTAGGAAAAAGGACTTCAAGAAGCCAGAAACCAAGACTGATCACACAACCAAACAGTCTAATCTATCAAAGCATGCTTCTAAAATGGAGAGCAAGAATGAGAATAAGACTTCGAACAAAACAGGGACCTCAAAGGGTCCTAAGGAATTCGCTACTGGCAAGAATAAGAAAGGAGAGCAAATTTGCTTCACTTGTGGTAACACCGAGCACCTCGCTAACTACTACAAGAAGGACGATAAGAGAGACACTGAGAAGAAGAAACCAAGTGTTCGTATTATTAAAATAGCCAGCCGAAAGAAAGGTCATGAGCGAATGGCTGAGCAGACATGGGACCTTTCAGACTCATTAGAAAACAAGTAAGGCTCCCTTCTAGTCCTAAAGGAGAGCCATAAATGCGTACAGGGGATTACCTACGCGCTATGGGCCAATTGAGCATCCTGGATGGCGATCCAGAGAATATAGAGATTGCACTAGACACATGTGCTGAAATTGACACGATTGGTATTAACTTTGCAAAACAGCAAGGCTTGAAGCCATATATCAAAGGGTACCCCAAGCTATGGCAGTCAGCTAGAAACATACGGCACGAAGCGAAAGGGGCTTACTAGGCCACATAGAGTATAACTAACCATCAAGGAGTTACTCATTCCTATCAAAGACCCTTCCTAGCCATTGATAGAGCTCCAGAGGACGCTCCACTACTCCTTGGAGAACAAACATTGGGTAAGATTAGAATTGATATCTCCTTATAAGCAAAGGAAGCTAGTAGCAACCAATGGTAGTTCCGCTTGCCTGCTGGCGATGATCCTATTGAGCACTATGTTAGAGTTGAATTAGTAAAGGTATTCCAGAAGCAACTGATAAAAGGGCCAAAGGTATACGCACTCATAGAGTACAATCCACTATTCAACAAGACCAGCGGTATAGACAGCAAGGATAGTCTACCGAGCAATTTAAAGGAATATGCCGATGTCTTCTCTCCTCAGAATGCGGAAAAACTAGCACTAAACTGTGAAGGGGTTAACCTAGCCATTAAGATCCAGGAAGGACAAGAACTACCATATAGTCCACTCTACCTATTGTCACAGGCGGAACTGGAAGTCCTACAATGCTACCTCCAAGAGAACCTCAAAAAGGGCTTTATTAGACCATCCAAAAGTCCAGCTGCATCACTAATCCTATTCGTACCAAAGAAGGACGGTACACTAAGACTCTATGTCGATTATCGAGGCCTTAACAAAGTCACCATTAAGAACTGATACCTATTGCCGTTGATAGGCAAAATACTAGACCATGTAAATGGCGCGAAAGTGTTCAGTAAGATTGATTTGAAGGATACATACTATCACATTAGAATCTGGCCAGGAGACGAGTAGAAGACAGCATTCCACACGCGCTATGGCCACTATGAGTACTTGGTGATGCCATTTAGACTGACAAATGCACCAGCGGCATTCCAAGGTTACATCAACCAGGCCCTGAGAGGGTTGGTTGACGACTTTTGCATCGTATATCTAGACGATATCCTAATCTTCTCTAAGACGAAGGAAGAGCATACGGAGCATTTGAGACTTGTATATGAATGGCTACGAACAGCCAAACTATATACAAAACCCTTGAAGTGCCAGTTCTATCAGAATGAAATGGAGTTCTTGGGCTTTATTATTAATGATCAGGGAGTCAAGATAGACCCAGAAAGAGTCTGAATGATTAGCGAGTGGAAGGAACATCCACCAGGGTCATACTAGGATGTTCAAGTGTTCCTTAGGTTCTGTAACTTCTACAGAAGGTTCATCTAAGGATATTCATGCATCGCTAGGCCACTTACAAGCCTAATGAAGGGCAGTAAGGACGGTAAGAAAACTGGTGATTTCCACAAGGAATAGGGTAACACTTAGCAGGAGGTATTCCTTGAACTATTGAGTGCTTTCGAAACCGCACTGTTACTGCGACATTTCAATCCAGACCTTCCAACACGGTTAGAGACTGATACATCTAAGTATGCGCTTAGTAAAATACTATCACAGTTATTTAAAGGACGATGGCACCCTATTATCTTCTATTCTAGACAGTTCAAGGGTCCAGAACTAAACTATAGAATACCAGACTAAGAAATGCTAGCAATTGTAGAAGCTTTTAAGCATTAGAGACACTATCTAGAGGATAGTAAGTACCTAGTAGAGGTACTAATGGACCATCACAATTTGCAGACTTTTATGAAGCAGTCTAGGCTAAATGGTCGTTAAGCACGATGGTGCTATTACCTTATGCTATACGATTTCATGATTAAATAGCGGTCAGGATCAACAAATCTGGCAGATGCGCCATCACAAAGACCAGACTACTTAAGACAAAATCAGAAGGATGATCTAGAAGACTCATCCTTAGAGTTGTTGATGACGCTAGGGGCAAAGATTGCTCGTGTATAACAAATCCACATAAGCTATTGTCGGAGGATGATGCAATTCCATGATAATGGAAATCCTTAAGGAAGTGAGGAAGAGAAGACCTGCAAGGTTAGTAAGGAGTCAACACAGGCAAGTGAAAAGCCACAAGATGTAGTCACCTATATATACGACAGTGAGTTGGGATGACAGGTGTAAGGCTGGGCTTGTGAATATGACAGTAAGTTAGGACGACAAGTGCTGATGGAAACCTATGTATATGATAGTGAGTCGGGAAGACAGGAATCCAAATGGCAGAGGGGGACAGTGCGTCCAGGCCCATTAGAACCCTCTGTGACACCCTAGGGAGATAGGGTTAAGGCTAATCACCTCATTTGGTGTATGTTGACTCAGAAGATCACACGCCAAAGGGCTCGGCAGGCAGTCCTGAATGAAGCACCACGGCAGGAACCCTCAGAGGGCCTGCGGCAGTTAGTAGCAGCTACCCAGAAGGAGGATCCCTTCTGTATGTGGGTAGATAAGGATCTCAGTAAAGGAGACTCTACAAGACTATAATATGGCCATACAAGTGACAGAGTATTGCTGTACAAGGGCCAGATATTAGTCCCTAACCAAAGGAGTCTAGTGCATGAGATCCTAAGATTACACCATGACGAACCATCTGCTGGGTATTGGGGAATCCAAAAGACATTGGAACTCTTACAGTAGAAATTCAAATAGGAGGGCATGAGACAAGACGTTGAGGAATACATACAGATGTGTCTAGTCTATCAAGGAAATGCCACTCCAAGACATAAACCCTATGGGCAATTGGATTCCTTGCCACAGCCAAGCAGGCTATGGAAGGAGATATCAATGGATTTTATTACCCAGTTGCCAGTGTCCAAAGTAGGGACGGAGGAATACAATGCTATTCTGACAGTTGTGAATTAATATACCAAGATAGCGATCTTCCTACCGGTCCAGGACACAATTGACACAGCCAAAATGGCGGAGTTACTCCACAAAGAAGTGGAATTGCGATATGGATGTCCTAGTGGGATCGTATCAGACAGAGACTCTAGAATCACTAGTAAGTTTTGGGCTGAGATATGCCACTATTCCTTTATCAAGAGAAGAATGTCCACTGCTTTTCACCCACAGACTAATGGTTAGACAGAGATCTTAAACAGAATCATCAAAGGTTACTTGCGGGCATTTACCAGTCTTAAATAAATGGATTGGGCAAAGCTTCTGCCTATAGCTGCATTTGCATACAACAATAGTATAAACCATACACTTCGAATATCGCCATTCAAGGCTCTATATGGGTTTAACCTAGAATTCCACGTTGACGTTGCGGACAACATCCCAGAAAGGAAGATACCTGCAGCCAAGGATTATATTCGAAAACTTCATGAACTCAGACAAGGACTGCGAGACCAGCTAAACACAGCACGGCAATGTCAAATTGAAAATTACAATAGGCAACATACGCCAAAGACCTTCAAAAGAGGCAGCCTAGTAAAATTATCAACAAAGAATCTAAAGCTTAAGAACAAGAAGCTTCAACCTCGATTTATTGGCCCATTTCGAATCACAGAAGTGATAGGGTCTCAGGCATATCGACTAGCACTTCCCTAGTAATACTCATGGCTTCATGATGTGTTCCTAATCTAGTTACTCAAAGAATACCATCCTAGAGAGAAGCAGGATATAATGCCTTTGCTAGAACTGAATAATAATCCTAAGAAATATAAGGTGGAAGAAATTTGAAACAAACAACTAATAAAGGGAAAGATTTACTACCTGATCAAGTGAACAGGATGGCCTTCAGAATACAACTAATGGGTACCAGAGAACGATATGAATGTACCCAGGTTAATCCAAGAATTTAAGAAATCCCAAAAACGCAAACGAACGTGAAGCCAGATGATGTACTATAGTGGTTTTTGTTCAATATCTCTGGTTTTCCCACTATATAGATTACACCAGATCTAGCGAATGTGTACTTCATGGCTCGCGTGGACGTAAGCCCTTGAAGGGGGGATAGTTGTAACAACCAGCAGGCTTTAGGGTCTAACTATTCCAAGAAATGCGCCCAATACGTCTCAAGTTGAGTTTCAGCTACACCAGGTGAAGGCTTATATGTTCGAGGATGGTTTCAGCTCCCTCGGACTGCACCTTGACTACTGGAGCTATTCAGAGAAGGGAGATCTGGTACACATTGTATATCTATAAAGATGGCAGATGCTCCAGGATAGCAAAAGATAGGTTTCAGTACATTGACATTCCATACCCTACCTTGTATACTCAATTCTTGTGATCCCTCTTGAATCCCTATACGTATCCCTTGTAACGTTGTTACAGTCATGAACAGTAAAGCGTACTGTGCAATCAGGAGATATTGGAATCTTTGGGTACTAGTCCGAACGGGGTTAGGCTCTGATAGGAGTTGTACAATTTGGGTGAGGAATAATTGACTCTGATTTGCACGTCTTCTAAAACATAGCTAACTACACATCTTGATCCTCTTTATATACACATCATAGTGGCAAAGTATCACGGATTTACGGGATAAATGACAATCCTGACTCCAAAATGTAGGCTTGAGTTTGGCTCTCATGTTCTCACGGATATGTCGTTATTCCGAGGAATCATGATTAGTAATGACATCCTGATTGGGATTAGCGTATCAAATATCCAACAGGAGACAGAAGTCACGTGGTGATAGGAAAGATATACCGATATCTTATCAAGATAAGAGTATACGAAACAACGCGATATTATTGGAAGAATATCGTATACTTTATACTTGCTACTTTTAAAGTATACGATATAAAGTATACGAAACGTGGAGGACTGGATATATAAGGACGCTCTTTTACCATCATGTATTTAGTTCTTCATAGCTCTTTGACATAAGTCGCTTGAATACAACAGTGAGAGTCAGCAAGGCATTCTAACTCGTACAGGCACCAGGCTGTACGGGGGATCTCTTCTATCTTAGTTTGTTACTATTCCCAGTCACCGTCTCAGTACTGTTCGATACTTCGTTACATACAAGTCACCACGCTCCACTATATCATTGGTCGGAACCTGTGCGAGGTTCAATTATCCAAATTTATCCTAACGTATCACGACGCACCGCTGTTAGAACTAAGGTGGATCCAGGTCCGTGACATTGAGCAGTCGAGGCACGCGCACGCTATTCCGTATTAGGACCGATCATATGCCCTACGCCGGATCGAGGACTTCGCTAAACCCATTATGGCCACGCGCTAGGCCCAAAGTGGTGATCCCGGGGGGCAAGCCGAATCCGAGACAATTAGGCCCCACCTAGTACAGGAACCCCGCAAAGAAGCTGGGAAATCCAGCTCCACAATTTACAGCTGTAGAAACTTTTTGACTTACGCTCTTTCGTAGGAACGACTTCGATATCTAAAGATGCCGTCCTACCAAGCTTACTACTCTCACTGCGAAAAATCATTCCCTTATACAACAGCTAAGCAACAGCACATCAAAGACTCTTCGCGCCATAATGTTTGCCACCTCTCGGACTTCGAGACAAAGAATGAGCTTGATGAACATTTAGAATTTAAGCACTTTTTCTGCATATCTTGCAATCAAAAATTTGATACTGCCAGCCTACTCTCGCAGCATAATGTAGGAAAGTATAACATGTGTCTTATTTATCAGCGATGTTTCTAAACTTCTTCGAATTTAAAAAGTGTTTGTTCTCCTGCTTCTTCAATTTTGGACAGTCACTAAAGGCTTCTTGTCCAGCACAAAATCACACATTCTGAGAGAAATGTCAATTGCCCTGGATGTTCTAATCGATTTAAATCGGATTCGGCGATGATATTGCATTTAGAGGCTGGAACATGCGAATGCGGTGCTGACCTCGATGAGATCACTGAACTTGCTTTCGAGTGCCATCAGTTAGAATCTTACAAATCTGAAAATACAGCCTTAAATTTTCAGTGCCCAACCTGCCAGACACCATTGTCAGAAGAATCAAGAAGTCACAGCCAATGAATTAACAAGATAGTGTTACACTACTGCACTACGGAAACAAGGATTATCCGAAGTAACCCTTAGGGTTAGGGTGACAGAGCCGCTGTTATGTATACCCCCAAAAACCCCCAAACATAAGAGTTAGAGGGCGCTATAGAAACTCAGTCAACCCCGCACTTGCCGCCCTCGCCTGTACCCTTTTATCTGATCACGTAATCCCCTGTTCTTTCGTCCACCTTGTTCTAGTTCTCCTCGAATCATACCTATAAAAGTTGCTATTCTCTGTCGTGCAGCACAGTTTCGCAGAGACCGCTGGCCGATACTAGCATGACCTCAATTTCATGGGTGTTAAGACTATCGCTTGTAATTATCCTGACGGTTTTATTTGCGTATTCGACTGGCGGTCAGCGTGGAACCCAGAATGGTTTACGACAGGCTTCAGGAAACCTACAAAAGTCAGCCTCCCCAGCGACGTTTTCATCCACAACAGACTGCAAAAAATGGCTGCGACAAAGCCCTGCAAGTATCGTTTATAACTATGGTATAAATGACACCTTGTCTGGCGCTGTCTCTCTCAGGGACTGCCTCAAACGAGAGGAAGCAGCGCAAGCAAGACAGAAGATTCAAGAGACTCTAATAGCCTTTCCACTGTTTAGCCAGCCAAGCGGGGTGCAACAGCCCTTACAGGAGATTCTCCGAATTCTCCAAACTTGGAGTCCGTCAGGTAAGTGACGAAATATCAAGGTGGATTAACGATTCTTATTTGCAAATCACTTTTAAGACGTGACAGAAATTATGATGCATGCAGATCGCTTAATCTTCAGGTCCCCAGGAAGAATAACAGCTGGTCAATATATTTTGACCACGACACTGGGGAGTAGATCCCTTCATCGAATGCAGCTCTAACTCCCTAGTGTATGATGGTGGTGAGAGTGATGAAAGACTCAATCAGCTGTACTACACCCTCGTCTCGCGCCCAAATATACGGTCACTGAGCCTTTCTCTCAGTCAAAGCAGCTGCACTATCGGGGACACACGCCGGTCTTTCGGCTGGAAAAAGGATGACCGTTTCTTGAACCTTCCGTGGTGAGCTGGACGGTCTTGAGTCGCTTGTCCTCCGCCACGGGTCTGGATTTTGGGGCGACGAAGAGACGTTGTGTTCCTTTGATGCAACTGCGGAAGAACTACACAAAGTTATTCCTCCTTCATTGCTGCGCTTCCGCCGTTGCACGAATTGAGCATCAGTGGCATGGGTCGACCGCTCAACATGACACCCATCTTGGAGACCCACGGCGCCAGTCTGGAAAAACTAAGTATTCACGAGTTTGAACATGACTGCAGATATGCAACCGGAAACTCTACCTGGGTACGGTCAGTTCTGAGTGTATCAGAGGTCGAGCAAATCGTTCTGTCAGCTCCCAATCTCAAAGAGCTTACACTAGATGTATATCGAAGCTCCAATAAATGGCCCAATTCTATGCTCAAGGTACTTTCCAAGTTTCCTCATCTTGCCCGACTCACTATGAACTTTAACCTAGAGGATCCCAGCATGTCCAAATATGCAGAGCGGTGCCTTGTGGATGAACGGGCTCGTGACAAATATAGCATCATTCACGGGCTCATGGAACCACAGCTGAATTACACGACAGCAGGCGAGATATTCCACACCATACGGCAATATCAAGCTGACACCAAGCTCCGAAACGTTACAATTTCTGCTGGTGACTTTAGAAGGCGGGTTGGAGGCGGTCTGAGATTTATCCCTCACTATGAGTGGAATAAGCCAGTGAGATATGATTGTTGGATGGAGGAGAATATGATCAAATGTACAGGTCAACACGATATTCATTTCGATGACAAGGTTTTTCTCTAAAGCATAGATCATGTTGATTACAATGATAATATATCTAAATATATTTGTTCGCATAATCAATCCTATTATCTCTGGAGAATGCAAACACAGGAGAAGTTGATATTGGGACTAAATCAATGGAGCTAATAGCATCGGGCTATACCTTCTACCGGGATGACTTGACTTCTGCTCCTACAACTCAATAGTCCATATTTCCCCTAGCCTCGTAAGTTTGAACCGTCCATCATCTATTGATCTCAACGTCATCTCACACGCCTGGACCAGATTTATATCATGTCACATCTAGATACTGAATTTTGCTTTACCTCCACCCACTCGACCATTTCTTATGAAGATGATGATGGTCGTCAACCTACCAGCCTATGTCTACCTCCGCCACTCGCTAACGAGACCTTTATCGTACGACAACCCCCAAACCAACCTCGTTATCTCCCTCAAAAGCGGGAAATTATGCCTCCACACCCTCCGTCGCGGTACTGACCTACACAAATTGTTCACTGGCAGGTAATCAAAACCGCGAGCGGCTGGCTTGGTTTCTGAAATACTCACACAGACACATCACATACATAAGGCATAACAATAGCTGGAATGGTTGGAACTGGAAGTTTCGTCGCGGATGTGAAGCACCATAGTCTGTGGGAATACTTTTTCGACAAGGCCTGGTTTGGATGGACGCCATGAGCCTGCTTGTTAAGCATTGGGTTGGGTTTCGGGGGGTATGAGAGTTTGGTGGTCTGCCCATTGTTTACAGAAAAGGAGATTTGATATTTTTGTGCAAACACACGTAAAATGCAGAACGCATCTCCTAATAGACAGGAGTAGGTATAATTTCGATAAAACCAAATGCAAAGTAGAGAAGATACTCTAGATTCTGTTCCTAACTCTCCGTAAAATCTCTGGGTGGCATCCCAGCGGATCTAAGGTGAAAGAAATACAATGCTTGGATACTCCTACCAGCACATATCGCATGCTCTGAAATTAATTCAATATGATCGACATGGCCTTACTTGACTCAGCTCTCATCTATCACAGCCATCGGCCACTGCATGAGATTTGAAAGTCGGCTGTCGTTTAGGTTACTCACCAGGCGAGCAATCTTTTGGATCTCCTTGCGAATTCCCCGATTCAAATACCACAAATCCTCAAGGAGAATAAGTGTCAGGTAAAAATGAGCCAATATAGTAAATGAAAACCCATTAGCAATCCCAAGTGGGCATTTTGGATCGAGGGAAGAGATGAAGGCATCGGAGATCATCTGAGGCCAGGCCGTGACGGCCGCATCTTCTAAATCAATCTGAATATCTAGAGATGCGGAACAACTGCGTTCGCTTTCTGTGAAGTGAAGCACGTATAGAATGCGCATATATATGTCCTCCAGGTTATCAATGGTAATACCATAGTCGGCGTCATAATCATCGGTCGTATCCAACTGAGAGTCTTCTGTAGTTCGATATGGGGATAGAGATAGCTCGGAACTTGCTGCAGAGCTTGAAAAAAGCGTGGTTGAGAAAGTACGAAGCATCGAAAGTGCCTTGGAGGAACCTTGTGCAAATATGGACAGTACCCGAGATCCTTGAATCAAGCGTGGAGAGCTTGACAAGGGTTCAAGGGGAGGATACATCTTCCAATCATCATTGACGTGGTTATAAGATAACATTGATCTCAGTCTCCCACGCTTGAGAGTGGTCCAATGCTCCTGAATCACACCTATCAACCCTCGGCATAAACGAATCCACTCAGTAGAAGGAGACTCGTCTTCATGACTTAAACCAGGCTCTATACTATTATTGTAACCGCTGATTGATAAAGAACCAAATGCAAATGCGGTGATCAATATTGAGCCACAGCAGACCTCTTCTGCGGTCGCCGAAGATACGTGACATATAGCCTCTTGAACTCCCTCGAGCCCTTGCTGATGATGTCCGATCATGCGATAAAGGTCAACGTCTGCCGAAGGATTGCCAACGAACCATGCACCGTTTCGGTAATCGGTTGGGTTTGAGTCTACTAGTGTTGATGCGTAATACTCATATTGTGCGTGCATGCCGGCAAGCGCAAGTAGCAGGTGCATCAAATACTCTCTTTTCGTGGCAATCTCAGGGATGACTCGCTGCCACATCACCACCCTCGTCGGAAGCAAGCTCATCTTCTGGGAAGTATCCAGGATAAACCTGGTCAACAGGCTCATATCAGCCAAGTCAGTTGATCCGCAATGTAGTGTTGACGCCGGAAGCGTGGATAGACCAGGCTGGTGAAATTCCAACGGCAGTAAAGAGTGTGAGACGGAAAAGACACGCTCTGTATTCCGCAAACCTCTACAATTGGCTAGGCCCCTTGAACTAGGGCTCCCATAGTTAGTGTATCAGGTGGACGAGAAATCTGAATATGGCTTCCTGAATAGGAACAAGCTGGGTCGTCATACACACCTGGATGTTGCTGGTGGGGGGTATGTGCATGCATCTCCTCGAGAAAGGCAGGAGCCACAAGTAGGCCTAACTTCGTCACACTAATAAATGCGGTCAACGGGCGAAATTGATCTCTCTTGAATAGGGAGTTTTCTCAACAAACCTTGACTCTTCGTCCCTTGCAAGTGTAGCAACCGTTGCGCGACTTGAAGTGGTGCGCCCTGTGCCTTCTTTGTCGCCGCGTAGGCACAGTGCTACCCTGCACTGAGGCTCCCGCAGATGATGGTGTCGACATAGTTTTAGTTGTATGACTGATATGTTCGCATCTAATCATATTTTGCCGCCATTGGCTACGAGGAGATAAGCATTTGCTGGTCGACGTTGAGTTTGTGGCGTTTTTTTTACGAAACAAGCTGCCTGGGTTCTCAGCCTCTCACCCACAGCTTGCTGAAGATTGTGCCGGCCTTTGATTGGTTACGTGCCGCAGGCACGTGATGGCAACCTTCTGTTGGAACGCAATACGCTATCCCTAATTGGGAATCCATCATACTACTAACATGAAGAAATTTCGAGAACTAGGTTCACATACTGACGAGATATAGACATCCAATCAGCTCTATATGGCTATATCTAGAAGGTTCGACTGGATGTCATCTCATGATCTAGTTTGTACAGGACCTCACATATAAAAGAGGTCAACATTCCTGACAAGTTTTGTATTAGAGAGGGTGCATCAATACATAGAAATTCTCAACTCTAAGTTCTTATTATTTGCCTATATTCCGTATCCATCCTAGCGTAACCGAGCTCCAACAGTTATGAGCCCGGGATTGCTGTGAGATAGATATTCAGAAACTGCCCACAATCCTCTATATCCAAAAGCCGGTTATCGAAGTATATCAATCGAATCCAAACCTTTGGGAACAGCCCAAGCTCTGTCTGAATCGCTTAGCCATGGACGAGAAGAAGACGACTGTGATCCTAAAAACCTCGGACGATTGGAGAAAATGGATGGAACAACTGAGAACAAAGGCGACAAAGGAACGAGTCTGGGAATATGTGAATCCAAGTACCATCAATACTGGGGACTTGGAGCCAGCGCCAACAAAACCGATAGAGCCCATTCAACCTTCTAAGCCAGACCTATCCGGCGATGAAGATATTGCTATTAAGCAATTCAAGCTGATGAACTGGCAAGCTGACATGGCGGCTCATGATTCGCAACGACGGATTTACGAACACAATAAGGCTCGATATGAGAAGCATATAGAGCGAATGACAAACGTCAAGAACTATATCCTTGATACAGTCGAACTTGGCCACCAGTCAGAAATCCGGCAAATGGAAGATATTAAGGAAATAATCCGAACTTTGAAGAGACGGTTTGCCCTTACAGAACAACGAGAGAACGACCTGCTCTTGAGCCGAGAACGAAGTCTTCTTAATCCGAAACGCACTCAAAGACCGAAGGAATGGGCGGAAAAATGGAGAACCCTCGTACTGGATATGAAGCTTGCCAATTTCTATGAGTTGTCAGACACAAGATTGGCACGAGACTTCATACAATCCACTGCAGAGATTGCGCCCAAGTTTCACGACATCTGGAGCACAAGAATCCTCGAATACGACATGGGATTAGACACATCAGGCTTAACGGAGATTCCAGATATTAACGAGATCATAGGAACATTCGACAAGTGGGTTGAAGCCAATAATAAGTTGGAATCAAGTCACAGACGCGATATCGCTATGGCAACTCTCAACGGAAAGTCAGATCAGCCTGAAGACAACAAGAAAAGTCAGATGAGATCAAAATCGAAGGACAAAACATGTCTCTGCGGCCAGAAGCACCAATTTGAGGACTGCCCATACGTGAACCCAGCAAAACGACCTAAGGACTGGGAATCAGACATCAGTATTGAGGAAAAGTTCAAGAATCTTGAGAAAAAGGACACCCCATATGCCAACGCCTTGAAACGGGTTAAGAAAGGACTGGAAAAGAAAAAGAAAGAGCGAGATTCCGACACCAGCAAGAAAACAGATAAGGATTCGGAAAGATCGAATTTCATGTATGATTCCGATGAGATTGCATGTGCTGTCAGATTGGATACGGCATTATTAGCCTCGAACGACGACCTCACAAACAAAGTCATAATGGATAACGGTACAACAACTCATATTTTCAACGATCGAAGAAGGCTCCGAAATTTAGGCAACGAATCCAGGTGGCTGCTTGTTGGAAACACAAGAATCAAAATGACTGGACCTGGAGAAACAATAGTATATCCCACACAACCGATCAGTGAAAAGGTTAAGCGAAAGGGTATTATCGTCCGTGACGCCTGGTACGTTGAAGGCTTTCATACCAATATCGTATCACAAGGGATTATGGAGGACCATGGTATATATTATGACACCCGAAAACGATTATTGGAAAAGAACAGTCAGGAATTGTGTCATATTCGACGAGAAGGAAATCTTTACCTTATCGAATGGGACGAGAACAAGCCAGCACGCAGTTCGCTTAGCGTCGACTTTGCCTTCAATTCCATGGAGAAAAACATACTCAAAGATCCGATGAATGTGTGGCATAAAAGATTCGGACACGTATCATCCAGAGCTATTGAGAAACTCCAAGAAGCAACAGAGGGAGCTATTGTTATGTCAGTTCCAAGCCGCAATAACGAGGGATTCAAAATCAAATGTGAAACCTGCGAACTTACCACGGCCAAACGTCAAATCAGCAGGGTAGCGATGCCGCTACCAACAAGGCCATTTCAAAAGATATTCGTTGACATCATTGTCATGAACTTGGCACGGAATTTTGACAGATATATCCTCCATGCAGTGGATCCGTTAACTAAATTCCACGTATTAGTCACCACCACAACGAAATCAGTCAATTTCGACCTAGAAAGACTGATTGAGGACATCGAACATACCTTCAAGTGTGTTATTGAGACTATACATGTGGACGGCGAAAGCTCAATCAATGGCAACGACTTCAAGGACTATTGCAAAAGGAAAAGAAAGACGTTAGTCACGACAGTTCCTGATACGCCTGAGCAGAACGGCCTAAGCGAGAAAGCTGGGGATATAATTGCCACCAGGGCAAGGAGCATGATTATTGAAGCCAACCTACCTGAAGGGTTATGGCCAGAGGCAGCCAGAGCAGCCGTTCATATCATGAACCGAACACCAACGAAATCCTTGAACTATAAAACGCCATATGAGTCAGTGTATGGGAAGAAACCATATGTTGGAAATCTGTTTTTATTCGGATCAAAGACTTACGTACGGATCGACACAAAGAAAAGCCACAAAGTAGCTCCACGAGCGCAGATTGGATATCTAGTGGGATATGAAGCTCACAATATTTGGCTCATTTGGACGACAGGTCCACGGGGAACGAAGGTCATTCGAGCACGAGACGTTGTTTTTGACGAAACGAAGAGATATGACCCAGAACATCCATTCGCTAGGGAAATCATCAGAGATGGTGTGACAACGATAACAGAATCATTAGAAATTTCAAACCTTGAAGATATTGACGAGGACAATCAAGTGTTTGATTCAGTTGATGACGACATGAGGCTTCAACGTTGGCAACCCGCCAGTATAAGGTTCTCACCAGCGAGGGGGTCAAATGAATGTTCGAATCAGCCAGATACCGAAACTCCAGTTCAAATCGAGGCACCAATTACTGGAATTGGAAATATTGAAGCACAAAACGACGAACATATATACGATCCTGACGTGCAAATGGAGGATGCCCAAGAAATCTTTCAAGATATTCGCACTGAAAATCGTGGCGATTCCAATATTGTGGAATCTGGGGGGGTGAAAGAGGACGAAGTCGTGGTGAGAAAGGAAGAAACTGATCGAAGCTATACAGGGGAAAGCGGAATAACTAAAAATCCGGAAGAACAGATTCCCCAAATAGGAAATCGCGACTTGCCAACACCTCCACTGACCAATCAGAGCGCGCCAAACACTCCATTAAGAAATGTCACAGGATCTGAGAAGGAGATTACCCCGCCTCCTACACCCTCAAACAACAATAACGCACCCAAAGCAGCAGAAATCAGTGCCGATTTATCAGAAAGGAATATCGTGACAGGTCCAAGAGTGCGAATAGCTTCAAAAAGAGCTCGAAGCCCAGCAACTGATAATTCAGAATCCAGCAAAAATGTGAGAAAGAAGCAACGAGCTGCATTCGCAAGAATGAAGCTATTCCAAGAGTCCTCACTAGCCAAGTCCTTCATGGCCGCTATGGAAAAAACCGACAACCTTCACGAATCTGAGCTCCCACCAGAACCCAAGAACTGGACTGGCGTTCTACGGCACAAATACAAAAAGGAGTTCATTGAAGCTGCAAAAACCGAATTTGACACACTGAAGAAGAAAGGAACGTTCAAGTTTGTTCCAAAACCCTATGATAAACAAGTGTTACCGCTAACATGGGTTTTCAAATACAAATTTGACAAATTTGGCAAGATTTCCAAGTTCAAAGCACGGATTTGTGTACGCGGTGATCTGCAATATGACAATAATTTGGAAACACGAGCGGCAACGTTGGCAGCACGAATCTTCAGGATGATGATATCTCTGGCAGCTGTATTCGACTTAGAGATAGCACAATATGACGCTGTCAACGCATTTGTGAATAGCAACCTTGACGAAGAGGTATATACCGAGTTTCCGAACGGCTTCAAGATTCCTGGCATGGCTATTCAACTCAAGAAAGCACTGTACGGATTACGACGCAGTCCACGGCTTTGGCAGAAAGAATTCACAAAAACCTTGATGAAAACACTCGGATTCGAACAGATACCAGATGAAGAATGTCTATTAGTCAAAAACGGCATATTTCTATTATTTTTTGTTGACGACATTTTGATATTCTACGACAAAGCCACAAAACAAGCGGAATTCGAAAAAATTGAGAAGACCTTGATGGCAACATACGAACTCAGAAAAATGGACAAGTTTGAATGGTTTCTCAACATGCGAATTTTACGAGATAGAGAACAGCGGAAAATTTGGATTTGTCAAGACTCCTACATCACCAAAATAGCTGAGAAATTTGGATTAACCCACGGCCTAGTCAAAACACCAATATCGGTCGATATCAAGCCTTTTGATGGGGAAGCAACAAATCAAGATATTCACCATTATCAGGAAATGGTTGGGTCAGTCATGTACGCCGCTGTCATGACACGAATCGATATTGCAAAGGCTGTCAACGAGCTTGCTAAACATGCCACCAATCCGTCACCTATCCACATACAGCAGATCAAACGAGTGATACAATATCTGTTCAATACAAGATTCCTTGCTATCGAATACTCACCACTAAGGAAGTCAGAATCAGACGTTGTTGTATGTGCCTCAGATGCTTCATTTGGAGATAACATCGATCGTACAAGCTCAGAGGGTTATCTTGTTCAGCTGTACAACGGACCCGTCGACTGGAAGGCTACAAAACAAAGATATGTAACAACCTCTACCACCGAAGCGGAACTAAGAGCAGCAACTGAAGCCGCAAAGCGATTGTATATCTGGAAACGTGTCTTTGAAGCAATCGGCTTCAAGCCAGAGCATGAACTATCTATTCAATGTGACAATACTCAAACCATACGCCTACTGACGAGTCCAGAACCCAATTTCCACACAAGTCTACGCCATATCGACATCTATCACCACTGGCTCCGCCAAGAGATTCAGAGCAAGCGACTTCATATTCAATGGGTCGACACCAAGAGAATGGTTGCAGATGGCCTTACAAAGTTGCTCAAGGGCCAGATCTTTGTGAATTGGAGAAAACACCAGGGATTAGTGGATATAGCACATTTACTGCAGGAATAAAAGCTTCAAGCTTTCCTTCCTGGGGGGGTGTGTTGGAACGCAATACGCTATCCCTAATTGGGAATCCATCATACTACTAACATGAAGAAATTTCGAGAACTAGGTTCACATACTGACGAGATATAGACATCCAATCAGCTCTATATGGCTATATCTAGAAGGTTCGACTGGATGTCATCTCATGATCTAGTTTGTACAGGACCTCACATATAAAAGAGGTCAACATTCCTGACAAGTTTTGTATTAGAGAGGGTGCATCAATACATAGAAATTCTCAACTCTAAGTTCTTATTATTTGCCTATATTCCGTATCCATCCTAGCGTAACCGAGCTCCAACACCTTCGGCCGCCAACCCGTGAGTTTTCTGAGAAGATGTTGGATTGTATGTAACAATCTCTAACGGTATATCTCAACGTATCAAATTATGTATGCACACGATGTGGAATCCTTAATCCTTGTTGTGATTCTCTTTCTCTTCTAAGTACAAATTGTAGGAGATGTCTTTTTAACCCCTATTCGGTGGATTCCTCTGCTAAGTGTGTAGCTCGCTCTGATTGGCTGATGATCTTTGTCAATCTGATTGGCCGGATCTTTTAGCTAATCCAACAGAAGAGAACGGCTCCCACTAGAGCGACGGGTCCGTCGCGATTAGATCCGTGATAGGGAACAGCACTCGTACTACTATGACAGCCATGGGTGTGCTTCGTCCCAAAGATATAGACGAACTGGAGGCTGACAATCGTACAATTTCAACGATATCCATGGATATATATACATTACATCAAAGCATTGCCATTCAGGGCTCATAAAGGCTATAACGCCATCGCTTGCTGTTCTCGTTCACAAACCACCACGCCACAAACGTTGCCTCCTCAACCCACCGCGCCCGGTCCTGCCCATATGACTCCTTGACCTTTTGCTGAAATTCGCTAAACTCGAATCCAACCACGGCTTCAACGTCGCGTCGATCCGTGTCGACATATTGCCACTCCTGGTTGCCCACCAGAGGTACCACAATCCGCCACGATTTGAACCGCGCATCACGAATGCCCAGCATTGTGCTACCGGGGTTGATGATAGTGAACTGCCAATATGCCACCTCAGCGGTGCTAGACTTTGACGATGCCTTGCGCACTGGGCGGAGGAGGGATTGTCCTTCGTAGTTGCCCAGGAGATCCCTTGCGGCGTTGGTGGCAGACACGGAGAGTGAACCTGTCTCGACGAGGAGGTCTAGGATCCTCGGGAGTATCTGCGGCGTCGAGACGGCGTCATCGATGGTAATTGGTGGCAGCTTGGGATGGGACAGGACGAGTGGGACGTGGTTGTTGGCGCGATGCGGATTATAATACGAGGCCAGGATATCGTTCTCGGGGATCGACAAGCCGTGATCTCCCACGAAAATCAGGAGAGTCTCGTTGGCCACATCTAGATCGTCTATGGTGTCTAGTATCCTGCCAAGCCAGCGATCGCCGTAACCAATCGCATTGATGTAGTGCGATAAATCGCCTAGGCCCTTGCCTAGCGGCACGTACGTCTCGTTCTCGGGCATGTTGTATGGGTGGTGGGTCGTGCTTGTGATATGGGTTAGAAACACGCGACCATCGTTCTTCTTGGCCTTCTCGAACTCATCACAGATGTAATCTTCGATAGGCGTCTCTTCGAAGCCGAAGTAGTTGATGTCCGGGAGGTCTACCTTACCGAACTTGGCCGTATTCTTGATCAGATAGTCTTTGTCGATAAGCCCTTCACTTGGGAACCCTACTTTTTTCATGAGGGCGGCAAAGTTGTCGTACGCTAGCGTCACAGATTGCATGAATGTCGACGCCCACTTGTAACCGCCAAACTCGTATCTGCCCTCGTCCTTATTGTGCCCGAGCATATGGAGCACACCCAATATGTGCGGAAGGCAAGGCTGGTAGATGTGATGCTGGTACTCGGCGTTAAAATCGGCGACCATGGGATTGACACCGCACAGTGACCCTGTGAGGCTCTTCATCGTCAGTGTGGAGGCCGTGTACGCGCTGTTGAAGCTTATGCCTCCCCGCTTCTTCTGCTTTTCCCCAGCGGGGCGGTCAAAGTGGTCGTCGTAGTCGCCAGTGAGGAACTTGGCAACGGGGGTTAATGTTTTGAGGCGCTCCAGCACATCGTCGGGCAGTTTATTGTTGTCCCAGGTATCTCTTAGGCGTTCCACAATTATACCAGAGTCCTTGATAGGGAGAACGTCCTTCCTAGTACTTTCAAGTACTATGATCACGACATGACGGATCGGCACGTCGCTAAGATCGCCTAGCTGAGGAAGTAGTGCCTCCTCCAGGTTCGAGATCTTGAAGGAGTCTGCTAACGCGTCATAGTGCAATTCATCCTTATACCAGTCCTCAAATCCGTCTAACGGGTAATCTGGTAGCCAGGGAAGTGGGATTGGTTTGCGCAGTGCGGAACGGTTATCCCACTCATGGTTGATACCAAAATTATAGTGTGGATAGATGTTCTCCAGGTTCAGGGCCATTTTCTCGAAGTCGACAAAGGGAAGAAGCGCTGGGGTCCATGACATAAATGTTAGTGAACGCTGGTGTGGTCGAACGAGCGAGAGGATAATCTGGGCGAGTAGAGCGATAGCAACGACGGCATACAACATAAAGTGGATCCAAGCAAATCCGATGGGTTTCCGCTCTAGGAAATTCTCGGTCTTGGAGGCCGATTCCGTGTCGCTTTGTGTGATCTGATAATACTGGTCGTTGGGCGAATGGCGTTTGGTTCTGCAGAACCGACCACGTGTGATATATGCGACAGGCCAGGTGATAATATCTGTAGTTAAACCTACAGCGGCAAACACGAAGTCCTGGAAGGCCCAAGAGAGGATGGCGAGAACTCCAGTGACGATCAATGAGGAGACGAGTCCCGACAGCACAAGAGCACGGCCGGCGGCATCGCCTGCGACGCCAACATTTCGCCAATGGATCTCGGAGCCGTTAACGACGAAGAAGCAGATGTTGATGATATTGAGAGTGGTGACGAAGCCGATGAACAAGGATGAGATAGAGTACGCTATTAATCGTAGGAATCTTGAGCCGCGGGGAGGGGAGTGCCTTGTGTCAAGCAAAAAGCTGTGACAGCCAGCCCAGCGGCTTGACAGCTCTACGGCTTGGCGACGGAGCTTTCCGTACAGTCTCATCCTAGAAGGCTTTTCCCGCTATCTCAAGATAGGGCTTGAGCCCTGAGCAATGCTATATTGGGAGCGGTACTGTATTGGGAAGCTCCGTCCACACAAAGGATCATATGAAGGAGCTGTGCGTAGAGGGGCGCTGTGTTTTTTCTTCTTTCCTTCTTCATGCTTGTTATCCTTCGTAGATAGGCTCACCTAGTTAGCAACAAATGCAAGGTATTGGCCAGCGTCACAAAAGCGACACAATATAAGCAGAAGGACATCCTGAGTGAAAAAGGAGTATCCCCATTTCTTAAGATCGGACGTCGTCAGAGCCGTGGCGTGGGAGTAGATATGGATGAGCTTGGCGGCGATGATGGCGAGCGCAACTAAGGTGAAGACAAAGCGGCGATTGGTAAAGCGTAAGCCTGTGAGTTGGACCACGTGTCTCAGGCCCAGCAGCTTAGAAGTAACGAAGCGGAGGACGGCATTGGGGCTAGCGTACATGCCTGGGAGACTCAAATAGATGAGCAGTGGGTGAGTATTCGGAATGAATGGCGAACTGAATTGGTTGATAGAGTGTGAGATGGACGGGATCAATCATCAATGAGTAGTATGCAGCCGGTAAGTAAGAGAGCGTATAGACTCAAAGAATTGGTAAAGGCATGCGGCCCCTGAGTCGAGAAGCGGAGTAATCGGATGCCAGATTCACCAGAATACTACGTAGTATACGAAAGAACGAGCTGAAGTTCCTTCCCCCTACAGTGAATACAAGAATTCTTGTAATGACTCTCGTATGCCGGCCAGAAATACTGAAAGAGCTAGGCACGGAATGGGTTTTGCTGGGGGGCATTGTATGCATCTGATAACATATAGAAATCGGGAATCGTTCAACTAATACATTGTATGTCCATTTGACTTCCTTCATTTCTACATTAACCAATTTATACAGAGGCCGCCCAAGTAACAGTTTGTTTTACCGTCTTAAGGAAGAATTATTTGTGATACATAGGACGGAAATGCCGTAAACCAATATTTCAGTTTTGCCGTTCGTTGCAAGGCAAATTTTTTTGTACTATATATGGAAGAATGAGGCTGATTCAGGCTCCACTCGTATTCGTATGCCTAAAACTCGACTTTTTCGCTGTGGATTTGGCTACTTTCATTGATTGGTCTTCGCCTTGCAGTCTAGTCCTGCTCCACCTGTACTAGTAAAAGAATAAGCGTTACAGTGGCTGCTGAACTACGGAGCATCAGGACGCAGATGAGATTCATAGTTTGACCTCGGTGGTTGGCTCCAATCAGGGACTACCTACTACTATTCTGCCGTTTGCCTTCTGTCGGGGGATGTTGTGAATTTTAGTATGCATAGTGTAGAAGTTTGATCTGGGGCTTCCTATTGGCCGGATTCGTAGATAGCCCTACTCTGTAGTACAGACAAATTATTAGAAAAAGATATCAAGCAGTAAATACGTACATCGAATATTAGTATAAATAAAATGCCCAAACTTAGGGTTTTCGTGTTTCATCTCCACAAGAGAGAACGCCTCTGCTCAATCTCCCATCCCGCAGAAGGTGTATCGCTTTGGGGAATCGATCTATTTCCTCCCAATTTTTCGTCCCCTTTTTCGTATTCTCATTTACGTGTTCTCTGGTTTCTCGTTTCTCCTTTACAAAACTCTAAATACCATGGGGTAGTCACACTGGGAGGATTCTGTAACAACGGTTTAGAAAAACCCCAAGGGATGTTGAGACAGTAGTCGCACCCCACAAATACCATTGAGTTCTAGAAGACGGAGTACCTTTCATCAGACACAACTATGAAGATGAGAGCGCCAGGTTAAAACAATCACAGTATTCGATGGAGTGAATTCATTCGAGACTCCGGTAACAGATGAGAAAAATGACGGAGCTAAATGATCATATCGTACATATCCTTCATGACTGCTACAACCCTCATTGCGACCAATGCGATATCTATGGATGTCTCGTCCTCAATAGGTTCTCGTTTTGTACACAAATTAGCTTATGACGTTTTCTGTCAATGTTCATAGATATATAAGAAATACCTGCCTTGTTATAGAGAAGAGACGTAAATACAGAACCCAGGACATACAATCTCACTGATCGATTCTTCAATCAATCTCCTTGTATTACTAGATCTGTTGAATAGACTACAACAAACAGACCAAACCCTATTTTATTCAATAACATCCTTCAAAACCCTCCGAATTCACAAGTCATCTGAAAAATCCCAGGATTGTTGTTTATTGGCCTTCCTATAGTCCATCCCCCTCAAATTGTTAAAAGCACATTTATAAGTTTAGCCATCCCTCATTAGAAGCCACCCAGATGGCCGATGTTAGGACGAGACATAGAAGATACAAACTGTCAGAAAATGATGTATCCAAAGATCTGAATGGGCCATCTCTTGCGCTAGGCATTTGTAACCTTTCCCTGCTCTTTGATTGAATTTCTAACGAAGCTTGGGAAGGTAAGGGTGACTGTAGTTCATCATGCTTTTGGGGCTGATATGTGATTTCTATGGCATGCCTTGTAGCAGTAGCAAATAACGGCAGATCTTGGAAGTTCCCGTCCACAATGCTCAGGCGAAATCTGACATCTGTTGTTTGTGTTTCGTTTTCCCATTTTTTAACGGATTCCCGTGTCCACGATATCATCTTATAATCTCCAATGACTTTGTTCTCGCCTGCGTTGACCACTACTAACTGATAGTGGTCTCCATTTTGTGCAGTGATAGCTTCCCATATGGCACCGCAGCTGAAAAAAAACCTAGTCGGAACGCTGTTGTCTTCGTCGGTGATTTGTCCTTGATGACGCTGCTGTTGTCTTGCTTGGAACTTTGGAGGCCTTCGAATAATCGCAATCACTTTTGTCTTCTCATCTGGCTCGTCTTCATCGCATTCATGCTCTGAAAATTTGGCACTTGAACCATCTGGTAAAGTACAATCGCTGTAGAAGTCACCGCGGACTACGGCTATGTCACCTGATCGGCAGTGAACATCTTTCTGCCAGTATCGGGATGCCAATGGTGCTGTCTGCAAGATTTCAAAAACTGGCTGAAATCTTTTCTCCCTTGTTGCTTGCTGGAGGAACTGAACCAGCAACCGCGGCTTTATCCGGCGAAAAGGAGAGGAGCCATGTGGCGGCGGGTATGCTAGATGGAATGTTGTTATGAAGGGGGACATCGGTAATGATATTAGGTTTGGATTTGGGCAATCTCGCGATGTCCGTACGTCACTGCTCAGTGGTTAATAAATTTTGCTCATCACAGTGATGCGGGTATCTTGTACTCAGAAGGTTCTCCGGCAAATGCGCGGTTGCTAATGAGCTTTCCTTTGCCAGGCATTTGCTGTCAGGCGTTTGCGCTAATAGAATGGAGATGCCGCTGTATGACTGTTGCTTTCAAAAAGTCCTCTAGTGAGTAAAGAGAGAGACGAAATAAAAACTACTGACAGTGAAAGAAAGAGATCCTTCACGTCTATATAATTGCGCTTCAACTACTGTGATGAAGGTCAAGGTCGGCCCCGTTGACAACATGGGGTGTGTTCCTTATAAACAGTAAAGCGAGGCCCACATGCAAATTGAACATACATCGTGTCTTCCATGTTACAATATCCAGTTGTAGATTGTATGTTTTTTCTACCTTTTCCTGCCTTTACTAGGATGGCTTTGATCGTAACCAGATCGATGTTCCCTATACGAATACGGCAGGCCTATGTATTTCGGTAAATCAACAAACTTATCTCATGCTAGCTTGATCTAGGGTAATCTCCTTTTTGAGACTCCACTCTAAGGCTAATGTACGTAGTTACCTTTGTTAGTAATCCCCCCTTGATTTCAATTATTGTACTTGCCTCTTGTTACAGCAGAAGAGTTTGTGGTTCACCAAGCGTCTATGAAACTATGGCCCAGCAAGCAGCAATGTACTTAGCTTTTAGCTCCGACATATGCTCCACGTGTGGTGATGCATATAGTAAATTGTACTGACGGAGGAGTGCTCCGAAAAGGGATATACGTAGTACATATCATCGTATAATCTTTCCGTATATTCGCCTAGCCATGCAGTACTGTCGCAGGTGTGTGTCGGCTCCGAGTCCAACTCAAGGAATTTGATTTTACATACAAATTGACAGATTTGAATCGGCCGACGCACTTTTCAGATCGAGTATCATTTATTTTGATCTCTAATATTTCACCATGAGATAGATTGTAGGATAATGATCCAGCCATATCCCTGCATGATGTATGCGCAAATCTCCCTCCAACTCCCTATGACAGAGTCGGTATCCCGATATGGCACCGATGCGAACAAAAAAACAAAGGAAAAATCAATACGCCAGGTATCACCGTCAACAAGAAGGGACACGAAATGAACTTTTTGATTGGGCAACCACCTGATATAGTGAGCCCTTGGGAAACGGGCTAAGCGGCGCCACGCGCTCACAGATATTAGACTATATTTAGATTATAGCTTTGTCCCCTTTATTGGTCCTTTGCGGCTTCTGTTGCAATCCCATTATTTGAGCTAAAAAGATCTACAGTATTCCAGCCCTGGTTAGTTGACTGCAAATAGCTTGTGACAGCTTCTTTCGCAATGATTCTTCGTGGATCTCTTCGGGTGCTGAGCCTGTTTGAGGACAGTCACAGACTCGATGTCGTTCCCTTAAGGCGTTACTTATGTTTAAAATTCCAAAGAAATAAAAAGTAAAAGATAAGAAAATTCTAGAGGTTGACATAACATCATGAGGACTTTCTCATCTAGGGCGATGAATGCCTTGAAAGGATGTGTTTTACCTTTCTCCCGTCTTTATTTTAAATCATAGGGTGGAATATCTGCGAGAACAAGAAACTGTATAAATTTTCGAAAAATTGACTAAAAAAACTAGTAGAATAAAATAGACAGCAGACCTGCTGCTGTCTCGGACAAACGAATGTGCAGGCTCGTTATAAGTTCTAACCCTGTGCTAAAACATCACAAAATATCAGAGAACGTCAAGTCTATGTTCGGCTCAAAGATGCAAGAGGCACTGAATAAAGCAAAGGAAGTGATAAATAGAAGACAATGAAACAACGAAGGTGCAACAAAATGTTGAGGCATTTATGAACCGGTGATATCCAGAGGGTCAAGATCTGCAGTGAGAGCGAAAACCAAGAGAAGAATGCAGCAGCTTCCTCAAGGATATCGTTCATAGGGCTTCGGTTGTTCCTCGTCATGTAGACGAGACATTTCATGATTCGCAGCGGAACGCAGAAGACGGCCAATCTCCTGTGGATGAACAATATTAAAGATGACCATGGCCAAGAACATTAATAATGCATCGAAGACATATAAATACATCTCATGGTGCAAGAGGAACCCGTTGTTCCCTTGGATGTATTCGATCAGTCGGAACAAGGAACGGACCATGATAAGGAAACTTGTCAGATAAAGTATATTCAGGTGTTTGCGCCAAGGGATATCTGGAGAGCAAGAGCGTGGCATTGGATATTTCTTGATTTTCCAGTAGAAATGCGTCGCGGTAACGAGGAAAAAGGCAAAAAAGAGAATTTGAACTACGAGCCCAACCACAATAAGGTGCTCGCCGTTCTTCATACTTGCTAAGGTTCCACTGCTTTGAATGCCGCCACCTAAATAAACCCAACAGATTATTCCGATGCTCCATATCTTCTTAGGGATGGTATGCTTACCGGCTCCTTGCAACATGAACGAAAGTACGTCGCCCGTCACAAAAAGCTTTGTCAACCACTTTTTTTTCAGCAAGGCAAGATTTTCCGCTTGTAATACGAGGATAATGCGGCCAAGAAACATGTATATGGAGGCTGCTAGGAGAGCGGGCGCGAGCAAAAGAAAGAGTGTCTGGATGAGATACGGCCCGAGTGTCCAATTGGGAGATTGATTACTGGACATGGCCCGTCCAATATAACCGATAATTTCAACTAGACAGAATTAGTTCTCTATTTCAGTCGCAAAGAGCACAAGAAGTGCACGGACATATGCCCCCTATAACGAAGGGAATGAAAAACCATGTGGAAGTCGTGAACATTTGTACAATATGATAACCGGTTGTGCCGATGAAAAGAAGGATGAAAATAATAGCGGCGCCTATGCTTGGGTCGTAATGATAGAATGCAAAACCAAAATCGTTGGAGGAGTCTCTTGAGTCTATCATGCTGACCTGTATAGAAATCAAATAATACGAAATAAAAGCAGAATTAAAGAGACGATAGAGAAGTTTTCAATGTATGAACTAAAGAGCGAAGTATTTTAGCCAGGGGAGAAAGCTCTTGTTGCATTCGCTCGGTATTTATATACATATAGAGCTTTCCCTAGTGAACAAAAATAGACTAGGATCCGCACTAGAGAAGCAGGTAACTGTAAATAAAACACTTGTGCATGTAATAGTGGGTTTCGGACCGATTCTGATACGAATCTTAGATGGCTAAGCTCGTCTGCCTTACTCTGTACTTTGTCCTCGTTTCCAGTTTGGGCAATAACGATATTACCTAGAAAAGCTTAGCGTCCAACCAAAATAAAAATCCTCGTTGCGCGTGTAATACGAATACGGCTGCAGGTCCACTTTTGCCTTATATAGGTCTAGGCAGCAAGATACGTACTAAAAAGGAGATCCCCTCAGTGGGGACCTCGGCCCTCTTGGCGGCCTGTATCCATCCGTATTCGTAAATGACTTTCGACATCCAGAGTGGGTCAGGCGGCTATTATTGGTGGTTTAGGCTTAGCGGTTGACCACCTGCAGAACTTCTGATAACGATTGCTTGGCTCCGCCAATCGGTACACTTTCTCGTATTCGTACAATCCCCACCAAAGATTGCCCCAGAACATACGAAGGTACAGTGGGGGTCCAGTAGTGTTGGCACCCCCCTCTTACCGCCCCCATTTACTGCCGGCAAAATTAGCCCGTTGAAATCGCGTCCCATCGCGTCAAATACAAATTATTATGAAAGTCCTATATCTTTATATTTTTCACCAAAAATCATGGCTCCTCGACGTCGTACAGCGCGTAAAGAACTAGACCCTTGTATGAGAGCTCGGATATGTGAGCTTCATACAAGCGCGCGCTGGGGCTATAAACGAATTCATAAAGCGCACCCAGAGATCCCTATATCAACTATTCGCAATACAATCAAAAAAGAGCATCAACGGGTTAATCAACGCTCATTACCTCGCTCTGGGCAGCCTAGCAAACTATCATCTGAGCAAAAAGAGAACCTCGTTCAGCTTACAAAAGAGAATCCTCATATTAAATTTTATGAGCTTCAAGAATCGGTGGATATGCGATGTTCAAAGACTACTATCCGTCGAGCATTCCGCAATCTTCATATGAGGAAATGGCTACAACGAGACCGCCCTGAAATCCTTCCTCAGAATGCAGAAAAAAGGCTTCAATGGGCACAGAGGTATGCTCATTTTACACCTACAGATTGGCAACGTGTAATATGGAGTGACGAATCTACAGTTGAACGAGGCAAAGGAGGTCAATTGATTTGGACTTGGAATGATCCTAGTGAGCAACTAGTTGAGCATGACGTACGTGAGATTCGTACTGGGAAAAGCATCAAAAAGATGTTTTGGGCTGCATTTCAATATAATATCCGTACGAGCTTAGTTCCATTAACCTCGGATGGATCATCTCGTGGAGGAGGTATCTCTGCGACAGTTATACGCCAAACTTATATGGACCAGCTTCCAGAGTTACTTGAGAATGGAGATATCTTTATGCAAGATAATGCGCCTGTTCATACAGCTCATATTATTCGTGACTTACTTCAAGAAATGCAAGTTGAAGTAATGATTTGGCCGCCATATTCACCGGATTTGAATCATATCGAGAATCTATGGGCAATTATGAAAACAATCGTCCGCCAGGATCATCCTGAGCTAGAAAATGCACCGGATAATGATACTACGTTATGCGCATTAATACAAGCAGGCATAGAGGCATGGGAATCAATCGGGGAGCGCGTGCTTCAAAATTTAAGCGACTCTATGCCTCATAGAGTGCAGGCAGTACTAAACGCAGATGGCTGGTATACAAAATATTAGAGCTTTTTGGAGGTTTCCGTTGTTTAGTTTATTACTATATTAGGGAGGCGGTGAAGTTCGGGTAGTGGTTTCGGATATGGGGGGTGCCAACACTACTGGAAAGGCACTGTATGTCGATACGGTTATACGAGCGGGTCCTTATACGGAGATTTGCTCCTCAACCATAAATATCGAGAACCTGGCATAATTATAAAAAGGCGAGGTTTTGAATTCTTCTGCTTCTTTCTATTTCTCTCAGCAGACGAAACATAATTTGAAACAATGACTCTCTGGTATCGACAGTCCGGCGCGGACTATCAAACTGCGGTCTGGGCTTACTATCGATATTTCCCGTCTGAGGTAGCTGCCATCATCTTCACTGCCCTTTTTGCTATTGCAACATTTGTTCATCTATATAAACTCCTCCGCCACCGGACATGGTTTTTCATTCCCTTCATCATTGGGGGCTTCTGTGAGTTCTTAGTCGCATTCCGCTGGAATATCCACCTTTGCAAATGCTAACTATAACAAGTCGAATGGGTTGGGTATATTGGCCGTATCTTGTCCAGCAATGAAAGTCCCGATTGGACGTTGGGCCCATACATCCAGCAGACCCTCTTGCTCCTATTGGCTCCTGCGCTCTTTGCAGCTTCGATATATATGATGCTTGGAAGGATTGTGACGCTACTAGATGCTGAGCAGCATTGTATTTTTAGGAAGAAGTGGCTCACAAAGTTCTTTGTTTGTGGTGATATTTTATCCTTCACCGTACAAGCTGCCGGTTAGTGGATTGCATCTAACCTGTTGGTTAAGAAGATAAAAGTACTCTAATATCAGACAAAATAGGTGGCGGTGTCATGGCTAGTGGTACTATCTCAGCAGTACACAATGGTGAAAAGATTGTTATTTCTGGTCTCGCTATACAGATCCTTTTCTTTGGATTCTTTGTGATTACATGTGCGCTCTTTCATAGGCGCATTAACAAGTTTCCCACAGAGCACTCATTGGAATTGGGCAGTTCCTGGCGAAAGCACCTGTACATCCTCTATGCAGCCAATATCCTCATTCTGATCCGATCTGTCTTTCGGCTTATCGAGTACGCAATGGGTAACGACGGTTACCTCCTACGGCATGAGGTCTTCCTCTATGTGTTTGATGGAGTCCTCATGCTGACGACAATGATTCTATTCGCCGTATTCCATCCTAGCGGACTGATATCGCGCAGGGGAAAAGGAATTGAACTGAATCGTAATGTCTAAGCTCCTTTACGAAGTATTTTACCCTTGGCAGGTATCATGTGTATGATTTATGCTTGTTTGCTTTATATTTATATAGCCTATACTTGCTATCTGATGTATTTCCTGTCATTCGGTTTGACCACAACTTCCATGCCCTTAGAAATTTTTAGATTATTTTACTAGAAAATATGCATATGTATATGGCTGATGCCTCTACGTACCGGATTCCTAGAAATATTTTACGAGATATGAGCTTATCATATCGAATTCTGCTGGAAAGAAAGCCTGTCAAGGGGGTCGGAGAACTCTAGAGATAGACCTAATAGTTAAAAATTCTCTATTTACCAACGTCATTTGCATATGTCCTTCATAAAGTTCTTCAGAACCTTATTCCTGCTCTTCCAGTATTTTCAGCCTCGTTTGACCCTTCTTTCGAATGCTTCAAGGACGATATTCTGAGTTGCTTCATCCCATTCTTGTCCTCCATCTTGCGCGGCGTACTCTCGCTGCCGAGCCATGTACGAGCCGTAGACTTGCCGTGCGAGCAAGATCTTCCTTTGTGATGGAGACAGTGAGGAAGTGCTGATTGACTTGTACATTCCAAGGAACGGGTAAGCAAACAAGCCAAACATACCTATAGAAGCAAAGTTAGTCTCAATACCATCAATCAAGTCATTCAATAGCTTGTATTGAGGGTCTCTCATAAGTGGGACGTATTCCAAGGGCAAGAACAAACCTGCGCCCGGTCCTGTGACAAGTCCCATGGCTCCCTTTCCAAGACCCTTCCCAAAACCTGCCCAGCCGCCCTCTCTCGCTCCTTCATAAGGCTTGGTGACAGTCCCAAAGAGTCCGTCGACGAAGCCGTACCCGAATGTCTAGGATCCAGAATTCATCAGTGCGAGCCTGATTCAGCGGACAAGGAATGTGCTCATAATGTACCTTTCCAGCAACACCACAGCCACTTTTCCAGTCCTTGACTTGACCGTGATTTCGCACTTCATCTCCGTACAGTCGTGGCAAATGATGCAGGCCTTCAGTTATCGCCAAAGGAAAATCAACAAGAGTAGCCTTGGGAAGGACACCTGCCATCTTGCCAAATCCTTTTCCGAAGGTGACTGCTGCTTCTTTCTTCCCTCCCCCTTCTTCTTTGCTTTGGAAGACCTTGGCGGGGCCTGTAAATACTTGACTAAAGCCGACTGTAAAGTCAAACAACATTCCTAAAAGAACGGAACTGCCGGCGCTCACAGGGTCCCAGCGTTGGTTCTCTATTATTATGGGTTTGGGTTGATAGCTATGTTGAACACGTGAGCGGATCACACTCTGACCAAGGTGCTTTTTTTTTAGGACAACCCACAGCTTGAAATGTTTAGCTTCAATCTTGTTGTTCTCGGTCAAGATAAAGGCAGCCTTGTCGGACAGTTTAAGTGTTTTCTTTTTCTTGGTATACAGCCAAACAGCCGGTTCATCTGGAAGTAGATCGCATCGCAAGGCTTCCACAGGTAAATTGCAATGGAATGAACGCGACGCAGCTCGCACTCCATTATCTGCCTTCATTTTCCGAGAGATTGTTGCAGCTGCGTTTCTGGCTTTTGGCATTAGGCAATATCGAATAGCTTCTGCTAGATTGTTTTCGTTCAAGGATTTATAGTGAATAGGAGATGGACCGGCCTGGGCAGCAGCAATCATCTGGCCCCAGAATGCTTGACTATGAGTTGTTGAAAGTCAGCTAGCTCATGGCTCAACCGAAACTGGTTCTTGATCTTTGATGACACGCTCCATAACCAGGTTTTGTCATTAAATTTAAGAACTGAGTACTTACTCGCCAAAGAAAGGAACTATAGTGGTCGGCCGTCCATTGAGAAGTCCACACGCAGTGGTACCAGCTCCACCGTGATGCACAACACATGATACGTGCTTGAAAAGCCATTCTTGATTTAAATCAGCGCTGGTCCTCTTATAGATATGAAAGCAGAACTGTATACCATGTGGGCAGTCGCCCAAAAACATCACATTTGGATCTTGCTGGCTGGAACCAAGCTTACTCCACCCACGGGATATTATGGCCCGTACACCACACGTTCTGACTGCGCCTAGAAGTATAGCAGTCATTTTTTCTGCATCGTCCATGACAATACTGCCGAATCCAATGTATACTGGTGGCGGGCCACTGCTGAGGAAATCACGCAGCTCATCTTCAGGCGTATAGGCTGGCTCTTCCCTGAAGAAGAAACCACACACATCTTTTACAAGTCAGTATGTTCTCCATGATATTTACTTCCAACAGGTGAAGGAAGGGGGACAAAAAGAAGTAACAATACAACTCACCAATATAGTTACCCCAATCTTGAGGCTTTGCCACAAAGGCTGGGGACCAACAATAGGTAAAAGGTATCTGCAAGGCCTCGGCGATCGAGGGCCCTGTCAATGTTGGCACCGGATCTAGACCCAGCGACTTTCGGCGCCATCCATTAATAACGCTGGAAAGACTGGCGCGTCGTTAGCGAAAATACCGAAAGTCACATCTTAATATGAAAAAGACCTTTACCCTTGCCACGTCAGTAGTTCAACTAAACCATAGGACAGATAGTTCGTTGTCATTGGATCCGCATCTGTCCGCTCAATGTTTGCCAGTGGATGAGGAAATGCTCTTGTAGGGCTCCAAGGCATAGTGAACATGAGGTGAACGGGAATTCCCATGGCTTGTGCGCAATGCACATGGGCAAAACTAGGCGGATTCGCGATAATGGCTTCGGCGACAAATGGGATATTGTTCTCGGGGTCCGGCTCAATACACGACCTCCAGCAGCCCTCTAGCATTCTGTACACCATCCTTCGCTTTCTTGAGATTTCGCCACTCATGATAGTTTCGAATTTTGGAACGATGCCGGGATTCTTTACCATGTACTAACGAAAGAAATTAGTAAATGAAGAATCACAACCAAGGACCATCTACGCACAGCCATAAGGGATGATGGATCTCCACCGATAGGGAAGAACTCAAAGCCGGCTTCGGTAACAAAGTCTCGAAATACATCGTGGGTAGCGATCCTTACTCGATGTCCTTCAATTTGTAGCTCTCGTCCAAGGGCTAAAAACGGTTGCACATCTCCTTAAAAAACTTGTGAGCTTTCCAGTACGGATCGAGAAAACTTATACAACCTACATACCTCTACTACCGACAATTTGAATCACGATATTCAAACGTGGAGATTTGGAGTTGATAATATTTGGTATCGTGTAAGGCTTCGGTTGAGCGGGCGCCGAAATCGATAATCTTTTTGCACTGAGGAGACTGATCGCGGCTCGTCCATCATCTATAGAGGCAGGTTGAAGTTAGTAAAACCAATCTCCTGCTATTCCGGTATCTGCCTCGACTTGCCTTGAGCAACAACCGTCGTTGACGCTCTGTTCCCCGATCCGACTAACTCGTAGACGGGTGGCTCGTCCCAGTCAATGTCAGGTGGAGGATCCAAATCATCATCCCAGGCGCCAGGGTTAGAAGGATCGCTTTGGAATGATGGTTCTGCGCTACTTTGATCCTCCTTCTTTTTTCCCCCTCCCCTCATGCTGTCTGAGCAGTAGCAATAGATTGTGATAAATCTTCAGCTTAGAAAAGTAGCCTTCTGATATTTGAAAGGTGTTGGGTTGAGTTATCTTGGGTCAGGATTAGCTAAATCATATACTAACCTAGACCGCCTCTTCCCAACGCAAGCATAAACTTTGAAGAGTGCGTCATGACGACCAGGAGTTGATGCAAAACCTTCCACATTGCTTGGGCTCCTGATTTGCTGAGGACATAGTGGAGTGGACAGAAATTGTGGGTTCGGTTTTGTTTGTACGAATACGAAGGTAACAAGAGCTAAGCCCTGTACTGTAAATACTATGGTTGGGGCCGGTAATTTTGTTAGCACGACTTTTTTACAGGGGTTGAAATCCAATGAATTCTGCCAGTCATATCTGATTACTAATCTAATATTTTGTATGACCACCTCGAGCATCTATTACAGCTTGGCATCTAGCGTGCATAGAGTCAATGAGCTCCTTCAAAAACTGCTCAGGCAGTGCATCCCAAGCAGCTCGTACAATCTCACGGAGTCGATCATAAGAAAGTTGCTCATCATCTGGATATTGTTCTTGAATCCAATCCTTCATCCAATTCCATACTGCTTCAATTGGATTGAGATCAGGTGAGAATGCTGGCCAATAAATTGGATATATCCCACGAGAATGAAGCTCTTCGAGAGTCTCCTTACTCGCATGGCCAGGTGCCCCATCCTGCATAAATTGAAGCCAGATATCGTCTCGTAATAAGCAAATATAGCCATCAATAATTGGTATAACCCGTTGACAATATCTCTCTGAGTTAATAGTTCCCCATTCCTTCTCCCAGAATAAACACGGACCCTTGTTATTCCCATGAAAAGTAGCCCAGAACATCCATCCACGTTTCCGTGCAGGAGAGGATCGTATGCAAGTCTCTTCTAACTCTTCACCAGCCTTTCTAGTTACCCAGATTCTCGTATGAAATCCTGAAGTAACCCATGTTTCATCAGACCAAAGGATACGATTCCATTGTTCAGTCGTCCAATTCAAATGCTCTAGGGCCCAGGCAAGACGTACTTGTTTATGTTTATCTGATAGAGGAGGTTTATTAAGAGCCTTGCATCGTGTATAACCTCGTTTTTTAAGGGCTCGAGCCAGGGCGTGCTTTCCAATAGATAGGTTAAGCTCTTGTATAACCTTATAATAAGGCATACGTCGCGTACGCTTCGAAGAAGTAATCCATTCGATAATATGATCAACTTCAGCCTCGGAGAGCTTCGGAGAGTTGCCACGGGCCTTTTTAGGGGTTGCTTGCTGGCTTTGGCACGTATATTGGACTTGGCGATAGCTAATTTGAAGCTGCTGAGAGATTTGAAGATATGTAAATCCAGCATCTCGAAGGGTTAATACTCGGATCCGTTCATCCCTATTCAGCCGTGCTGAATTCTGCCTGGAATCAGATGGCTCGAGAGCTGCTGCGCTTGTTGCCCTAGGGGGGCTGGTAGGCTCGGGGGTGGCCATATTGATCGTCAAATGTCATATATCTAGGCTTGAAAGGCTGAAAGCAGACGGATGGTCAATATTCTATTTAAAAGGCGGTGAGCCCCGGAGCCTGACCGCCTAAAAATCGTACTAACAAAATTACCGGCCCCAACCGTAGTATGTAGATCCAACTATGTGGATCCTCCTGAACATGCACTAACTTGAGCACCGTAAAAAGGGGTATACGAGTCTACTGTAACTGCTGAACAAATGGTCTCTATAATTACTCTAAATCTTACGTGAAATCTGAATTCCAGCCGTTCAACAGACCTCTGTCGACTTGGTACTCGCAACAGCTGGCCATCATTTACAGAAAAGTAGATTTGATCTTTTTGTGCGAAATTGGGAACACAAGGAAAATGCAATTGTGATAAAACGAAATGCAAAACAGAGAGCACGCTCTAGACGCTGTTGTCTCATAAAATTTCTGGGTGGCACCTTTGGCGAATCGGATCGTGTTCGTATAAACCAACACCACGCTCCAGATTCCAGCTCCTGTCAGAGAATATAGTTTCATCTTTGCTATATGGACCATCAAAAGGAGGCGTGGATCGTAAAATACCACTTTGATCGACTCTCATTCTCTTACTCTTATTCTATATGAGTCTAGCCACCATGGATACCAATGACAATCTAGAGCCTCCATCTCTCCCGCGATACAATCAATACAGATCTCTGGGCCGTCACTGCTATGTCCCGAGTCTGTCGTCGAAATTGAAAAGAACTGCAAGTGCAAGCTGAATATCGTTATCCAAGTCGTCGGAAGCCGAGGCGACGTGCAACCCTTCATTGCCTTTGGAAACGAACTCCAGCGATGGACACCGTGTGTGACTAGCTACGCACAGTGTGTTCGAAAGCTTCGTCAGAAAGTCAGAGTTGGAATTCTACATTCTACCCATTGTGTGCAGGCGTCGAGCATCCCGGTGCATTTAATGTTCACTATGCCCTGGAGTAGCACTGAATCTTTTCCACACTCACTGGCGAGTATGAGCGGCGGTAATGCAGACGAAAGTTTGAAGAATTATGTTCCTTACGGCGTGGTTGATTGGCTTACATGGCAAGTCTCCCTTTGCTTCCTGCTCTCTTCAAGGGAGGTTTGTACGTTACTCCGCGTTTCCAAATGTTATCACTACGAGGTAGTTCTTCGACATCGTTGGGCTACAGTACTAATTGAAGACATAGCGAATGGAAGAATCAAACTACATACGGCAATAACCCAGGCTCAAGAATATCATACGAAAAGTTTAAACGACATTCTCCCCTTTCTCTGCAACAGTACTATCGGCCGTTTTCATCTCTGTTGATTTCGCACGCCTCTTCGTCTCGCGGAAGACCATATGCCCTGCAATACCAGCCACAACGCAGGCCAAGGCAACAAATAGGCCAGTCGTCCAACTAGGCCGGTTGAATCTATTCATCCCCCACATGCAGCCAGCCAGGCATCCCTGGAATATAGTATTCCACATGTTGCACCAGATCACCAAATCCATTTTCCAAGTCGCCGTCGCCGGTGCGCGGCCTCCATTTATCGAGAGGTCAAGGGCCTCTGTAGTAGCAGATTTGTTTTGCTCGCAGTCACAGTCAACGATCGGTAAGCGGTACCACGCTCGATGAATGCTAGCCAAGCGCGTGATGCTAGCGAGGCTTTTCTCCCGGTCTCTCCACGCCAGCCGCCAGCAGCACCACCAGTACAGATCCCGGAACCGCCACGGTGCGAGTCCGAATCCCGTCACGCAGAATAGCCCGTTCAGGACCTGGGAGGTGATCTCGATCCAGATCCGGCGGGAGGAGTATAGATCGTTGCAGGACGGGTGGCACATGGCTGGGGCAGCATTGCAGATTAGCAGGAATAGCATCCCGCCCCAGGCGACTATGTTCAATCCATAGATGGCGATGAAGAATCCTTTCGGGGTTGTTATCCAACGCCACGCCTGAGTAAGCCAAGCTCTCTGATTCGCTGCGGTTGGGATATGTTCGGGGGAAGCGCTGCTTGTACGGAGCTATCCCGTCAATGAATGTCAGTTCGCTACATACGGAATTTTAAGTAGATGCAGATATTAAGGATACTGCTTACCTCTACAAGTAATCCGATTTCCTTGTTCTCTAGGACTGGCGGTATGCATTGAACTTCACAGTCAGCTCTGCTAAGCGGGTCGAATTGTGCCATGATCTGCTTGCAAAGACTCGAAGAGGCAGGGGAAAGATTGTCGCAAGATAAGAAGCGGGACTTGGATCAAGTGTATAATAATATTGTCGAAGGGATGCAAGAGTGAGTGAAGCTTGAAGGGCGATTCTATACCCCGTTGAACGCTGTTTCCGTTTCTAGTAAAAACCCTGCAGTCCACCAAGTTACCAACGCCACTGTTTAGTACGAATACGAAAGTCGCCTCATTCAAATAGGGTAACGTTTCTAAATGGCTACAGCTAAATGGGTTATCTTTGCAGATCCGAGCTTTGCGTGCCTTGGTTGGCAGTTGCGCTTTTTCCTGATCCACATCATATAGGGCTCCAAAGACTTTAAACTTCGAACTAAGCTCAGCCTACAGATCTCCACCCCATTTGCAAAATGCGAATACGGGCGGGTCTGTTACTGGTTGCAGTGGAGCTTCCCCTTATACAGGTATTGTATTGTAATTAGGTTTGAACAATACAGAATAATACCAAGCCCCACGTTAGGGTTAGGTGGTTAGTGTTAGGTTCAGAAATGATTTTTAGTATTACCATACCCAGTATTCAGAGCGCGATTACCTTGGTTCCCAACAAAGCAAGCGTTAAATCTGAGTTTGATATGCAGCTTCTCCAAGAAGCTTGTGGTCATTAGATATGTAGTGGTGCCCTGCTGTGGTTGTAGCTTAAATTTGCGTAGTGAGTTGATCTGGATAGTTAGTTGGTTAGTTAGATTTGATACTGGCTAGAGCGAAGCTAAATCTAGAAGCCGCTATCCCAGGTGTGCCTGAGCCGGCAGGCAGACAAAAGGTGGCGCAGCTACGGGACGCGCCACAGGGCGAGCTATAGAGAATGTAAACTAATGAAACCAAAATGTAAAACAATCAAACATGTCAAACCGATTAAAATAATGAAATAGTGTAAACACGTATGCTAGTTTGTATGTCGATGTCCTCATCTTTCCGTAATTCCCTTCTTCTCATGTTTTGCCAACTGCATCACTAATGTGGGCACCACCACGTTGATATACGGTATACGCCAACATGCGCTCAATCCCACAAATCAATCGCGCGAATATGCACTCGCTTGTCTCTAACGTACGAACTCTCACTAATTAGTATGTTTACTACTTCTCTATCCTCCTTCCGTGGCATGTCCTCGTTGACGGGCTCTAAAGCTTGTAGGTTGGTGGTTTGATGGAATCCCTTGATCCGCGCCCACATGAGGTCTCGTTCATCCGTGTATAATGGACACTCGAGTATAACGTGCTTTATGGTTTGACCCGATAATCCACACGCGCAGTATGGATTCGCGCGTTTGTTGATATGCCAAAGGTAATGCCCCAGCGCGACCCTCTCCGTACGGATCTGGATCAGGATTGACGACGTGGCTTTACGCAGATATGACCAATACTGGAGGTTGCCTTTGGAAGGCCTTGGGATAAGTTTCTTGGTTGGCTTCCCACTTTTCAGCCTATCCTAGGTCTTTTCTTAAGCAACCTTTGCTTCGTGTCGTATCTGGCGCTTTGCTGCAGTGCCCGAGCATGGTCCAATTCTTGATATTGCTGGGTACGGCTTGTCGACGTGCACCCATCATAGCAGCGCGTTTAGCGGCTTGGTCTGCTGCCTCATTTTCTGGGATTCCTTCGTGGCCCGGAATCCAGTGAAGAACGACGTCGATGTTGTTATTCTTACATTCCCAATACAGATTGATACAGTCCCGGATATAGGTTTGACCTGAGGCCATGTTTGGATTCTGGATTGATTGAAGCGCTGATCGACTATCTGAAAAAATAGCCACTCTTTGAAGCCGTTTGTCGTCCTCCACGAATCGTAATAACGTGCCGAGCCCGAATTTGATTCCGCAACCTTCCGCAGCATATATTGTTGACGTGTCCTCTGTATCGATACACTCCGTCATCTGTCGTCGTAACTGTGGGATCACCATTGATGTGCTAATATAGCCTTGATAGCCACTGCCGTTGGTGTACACTATTACGCGGGTATTCTTCTTAGCCATACGGTTGTGTACGGTGACCGCCTTCTTACGTTTGTTGATTATTACATGTGGAGGCTCTTGCCATGGTGGTTGGACGTATGTCTCACGACTCTCCCATTCTCCCGCTAAGGTTCCTGGGGGAGCATGGAGGCATCCGCCTGTTGTCTAAGCATGAGCCTCCATGGGGGTATAACCGCCGAGCGCGAGTTCTTGGTTAGTACGACGCGAGAGCATGCTCTTAGGGATCCTGTGTACTGGTCTTGTGCGTATCCGGATGGCGGTGGTCTTGATAAGCTGGTCTAGTTGGTAGTGTATTGGAAGCAGATATAGCTCGATATTTAGCGCTTCTGCCGCTGTGGTCTGGAACGCGCCACTGATTAGGCACGCTGCCCGTTTTTGGACCTTGGCGAAGTCCCGTGTGATCTTGGTGAGTTGATTCTTTGTTATAATATCTGGTTGATACTACACTGCTGCCCCGTACAACATCTGGGGAATCATAATAGCCTGATAGATTTGTCGTATGGAGCTAAGAGCGACTCCTTACGTCGACCCTACTAGTCCTTGTAGAGCCTCTAGACTAGTGCTAGCCTTGGCGACAACTTCGTCATGGTGAGTTTCGAACGTGAGCTCTGAATCGAGCTAGATTTTGAGATATTTGACTGTTTTACTAGCCTCTTTTTGTGTACCGTCTTGTAGGGTGATTGGTTGTGAATTTGGAGCCAGTCCGCTCCGTGGATTCATAAAGTGAATGAGTTGATATTTCTTCTTGTCAAAAATGGAGGCATGGCGTAGAGCCCACTGGTCCGCAGTGGCACTGGCACATTGTAGCTTCGTGATCGTCTCATTCTCACTGTGGCCAGCGGCCATCATCCCGACATCGTCCACCCATCCGCTGGTTGATACGTGGTCGGCCTCATCGGCGCAGTCCTCGATCAGATCAGAGTTGTAGATGAGATATAGGATTGGCGAGATTGGTGAGCCTTGTGGAATGCCTGTTGGCGTAGAAATCGTACCCGACATGCCTTTTGGAATCTTGATTCGCGTGCTTCGTCCTGTGAGAAAGGCGGCAACCCACGGCACAAAGTGGCCGAGTCGTCGTTTCCGCATATTGTGAAGCAATCGCAAATGGTGCGCGTTGTCGTACGCGCCAGAGACATCTAATAGAAGCATGGAGACCACCTCGAACCCTTCACCCCATGCCCGCCGCATCCGATCGAGGATGATTTGAATGGCATGATCTGTGGATATACCTTTGCGTCCACCGAGATGGCCTTTCACGAGTAATCCTTCCGCTTCCATGGCGTAGCTGATTCTGCGTGCGATGATGGCTTTGAGAAATTTACTAAGCGTGTTGAGAAGAGCAACTGGTGTAACAGTACACATGATATCCGTGACAGCCGGAAGTCACGCCACCCAGGTGGACAACGTGATGTCTCCTGCGGACGACTCACGCGTGCATAAGAAGGAGTTTCATTGTAACTAGAATTGTTTTCCTCTCTCAAGCTTCAGTCTCTGTACACTAGGAGCAGTACCTTTGTTAATGAACATCTGGAAGTCACCGAACGACCTTCTGCCATATTGATAATTCCTCCTGTCTAACCAACGGACTAACCTCCCATTACAACTGGTCGGTATGCTTGAGGTGTATGGTAGTCACGATCCTGGCCTGCCTTACGAAGCACGACTGTGATCGAGCGCTGGAAATGGGACGGATTATAGCTAGTTCGGATACATGCGTTGTAGATCTGGTAGAGCGTATCGAGCACTATAGGGACGCCTGTAATCATATGCTAAAAGCTGTTTGGTATCGTATCTTCACCTGGGGCTTTATTAGGTGGCATAGAGCGTATCACATGTTCGATCTCGTGGCGTGGGATCTCTGGGAAAGACAGTTGCTCTGGATATATAGCGTTGTCAATATCCGATAAATCAGCCTCTGGAATCGCTGGAAAGAAGGATTCGCTAAGAAGTGCCGTTTTGACTTCTACTGACTCCGCTGTACGTCCGTCAGTTGATATGAGTGTTGGGGTGACCCTAGATTTGTAGAGGCCTCTCCTTGTTCGTGCCCATTTAGCCAGTCTCCAAAGGCCTTGTGGGCCCTTTTCTGTAGCCTGTTGGACACGCCGGCGATGACCGAGTCTTAAGGATTTGCTTATTAGTCGTTTCTTGCGGTTCTGGGCACGTAGATACGCGCGCCAGACCTATAGATTGTGAGTATTTGAATGTAGGCGACGAAGACAGCAGCAAAGCTTTACCGCCTCTTTGCATTTAGGTGTGAGATCAGAGTTGCTCCATTCGCTAGGTTGTGCCCATGGGACGGTTTTGTCGATAGCGTGACGGATTGTGGAGGAAAAGGCAACGGTAGTGAGTTTGATACGGGATTTGGAGGCGTTTGTGAGATCTGGAACAACGAGATCTCGTTCCAGTATCTCCGTTAGTGATTTGATGTCGGTGGCCTTCCAATCTCGGCGTTTTGGGGGTTTATTGACTGGCGTTTGAATGTCGACCTGGGTACGGATTGGCCAGTGGTCGGAGTCGTGTTGTACGGTGTCAGCGCACTCGATTAGGATCAGGCGGTTGAAGAGACTCATTGAGAGAAACGTGAGGTCAATCGTTGACTGAGACTGTCCACGCTCCCACGTTACGATGCCCTCCTCAGTGGCGAGCTCTAACTCATGGCGATCCGCGATTTCCAACAATTCCGTGCCTTCGGCGTCGATAGCAGTGCCGGGACCTCCCCAAGCTGGATGGTGGACAATCATATCACCTAGGACTAGGTGCTCGATTGTTTGAGAATGCCCTAATCGGGCTAGTTCACGGTCCAGCAGGTTGAGTGTTGGCGATTTGGGCTCGTTGTAGATGTTGTGGATATAGAGGTCGTAGGATTGCTCGCCACGTAGATGTCGTAAGTGGAGGATTTGGTAATCCAACGAAATCGCTGTGTGTGTCCACTTGGCGGGATCGATCTGCTTGTTGACGTACAGCGCTACACGCGCTCGTTCGCCGTCAACAGCTTTCGGATAGAGTAATTGGTGGGTAAGTCGTGCCGGTTGATGTGTCGTATCGTCGTACTCATTCCTCCACGGTTCTTGAATTGCAATCACCGAGGCCTGGAGGACCGTCGGGTCACGTAGAAACGTGGCCATGACTTCGTCTTTTGATTTGTGCGTGTTGTATTGCAAGATTTCGAATGGTGTCGTATCTATTATTTCAACGGGTCCGGAGAAGAGCGTGATGATATGCTTTCCACTAGGTCCACGAATGGTCCTTCGTTAGGCTGGGTTTCTGTAGCTTCTTCGTGGATAAGATCGTTATCCGGATGCCATCGTCGGTTACGCTTCCCATTGTAGTTCGTAAACTGGGATAGTAGGTCCTCGCGAGCATCCGAATTGAGCTCTCCGCTGTTGATTTCCAGGAAGCTCATCGTGCTTTGTAGTACGACGTTGTTGCGTTGATCTGGATATAACATTCTAGCGGATCGGCAGAGTACTAGGGGCTTGATGTGAACGGCCCTTACTACTGCTCCAGAACGACGAGAGGGTCAATGACGCCAACCGCTTACGGATACGGGATTTACGATTGTCCGTATTTGGAATCATATCAACGGCGGGGAGAGTTTGATAGAGTGCCCTAAACATTCGATCATGCTGTATCATTTTGACTTATCAATGATGAAATTGCAATCTTTTTTGACAATTTCTAGATCGTTTCTTGAAAATAAACGTACTTTGCATACGGTGGTAGATCACGTAAATCCTGACCTTTGTGGCAGTTCATAGAACTCAGAGTGGGAGTGTTTGCATGCGTGTACCGACATAACTAGTGCTGGCACCAGAGGGTACGCACGGAATCAAAAGGGATTTTCTTACAGCACCAGACGGATGTTACCAATTACTACCGATGAGATCGCAGGTGTGAGTAAACTGGAATCTTTGTTGAAATTTCTACTAATACAAGTTGTACCGGAATGAGTTGGTCTAAACTCGTTGGTGGATAATCTACCGACAGCGGAGGGGAAATGACTGTTGACATGATGGAAATGCTTACTGACATAGCACCAAACGAGATTCTTTACACTGTTTCCATTCCGGATCACTGCTCACATCTCGAAAACCTTCCCAATTGCACAGGAACGAACAATCTTTATCGTGGCTTCAGCATCAGGAACATTTTTCGTACTTATAAATTATCACGTAATTATTATTTTCCAGTTGAAGAGAGAATGACCGTCCAGGCCACTGCAAAACAAGCATGCCCCCGCGCCCCCCTTCTTCCAGAGTATCTCCTCCGTTCGATCAAAGCAAACCCAGAGGTCAGTTCCGACTTATTCGCCTCCTGAGTTGCCTTAAGCTGCTGTCACCTATTAGCTGTGACAACAAAGTGATTGATCGCATAGTTGATCCCTAGTTCGCATCCACCTGAAAACCTATGTTGATGACGAAAGAAAGCTTAGCATCGCACAGCTTACTTAATATACATAGTAGCTACTTTTGCTGCCTAGGCATATTCATCTTGTTTATAGTGCTAATGAAGAGCCAATATTATTCTATAGGTATTATTAGGCCATTCAAGTCAGTTTTGATTCGTATTCTCGTATATTATTTCTTAGGAAAACTGAAGAGAGACACTACCTACTGTACAATTACCTAGACCTATTTGCCCCACATAGTTCTTACGATAGAACCGTACACTGGATACGAGTACGGGTAGGGCCATGGTTTAACTAAGCTATTTATCAACTCAAGGCCTCGATATGTCGGTGAGTGATAAACACTTCGCGTCTTAATGTGCACAATTCACTCAGCGATTTTCAACCCTTGAGTAGTTGCTAAAAGCCACCAATATGAGGTTCCTGCACTTATATTCTTTATGCCTGGCGCTGGGGATCGGACAGATCTTAGCAAAGACCCAGCCTGCAATTAGCTTGACGGCCCGAAACACAACGCAATTACAAGATATTGTCACTTGGGATGAGAACTCTATTCTAGTTCATGGAGAACGAGTTCTTTTGCTTTCTGGCGAATTCCATCCATTCCGGCTACCATCTCCAGATCTGTGGCTCGATATTTTCCAGAAGGTGCGAGCTCTAGGGTTTTCAGCCGTCTCTTTTTATCTTGACTGGGCTCTCCTCGAAGGCGAACCAGGCCACATTCGTATAGATGGTGTTTTCAAGCTGGATAAGTTCTTTAGCTCCGCAGAGGAAGCTGGGATCTACCTGATCGCTCGTCCTGGTCCGTATATCAATGCCGAGGTATCTGGGGGTGGTTTCCCAGGCTGGCTGCAGCGAGTCGACGGTCCCTTGAGAGGGACCAATCCGGGCTTTTTGGAAGCCATCACGCCTTATATTTCAGCTGTAGGCAAGATTATCGCACGTGCGCAAATCACCAACGGTGGTCCAGTCATTTTGTTGCAGCCTGAGAACGAATATACGTACTGCGTGAACGAACCTGGCTACCTCCAGATGAACAACATGACAGTTACGTCGCTTGATACATCTTGTCTGGAAAAGGAATATATGCAATATGTGGAGGAGCAGTATCGAAAGGCAGGGATCGTGGTCCCTTTCATCGTTAACGACGCATTTCCAGCGGGCGATTTTGCGCCGGGAACAGGGGTTGGCGAGGTGGATATTTACAGCTTTGACTTCTACCCACTGGGTTGGAATACTGCACGTATGTTGCAACTGCCAAAAGCTTCTGACCTTTCTCTCAAGATGCTAAAGTACTGCTGTGAAAGCGCTGGATCCGTCAAATTGGTCCACGTTGAACGACCCCCGTCCGTACTATAACTACACAGTGCACGAGAATCAAAGCCCGGATACCCCATTTTCGATTTCAGAATATCAGGGTGGTTCCCCCGATGCCTGGTAAGTCGATCCATAGCAAATTTTTCTCATAGTACGGCGTACTCATCCAGATGTCTCATCGCAGGGGCGGGGTTGGTGTGGATTCTACTGCCGCGCACATTGGGCCCGAGTTTGGACGTATATTCTACAAGATTAACTACGGATACCGTGCTGCAATTCACAATCTTTACATGGTAAGAGCTATATCATGCTTGTGAAATGCTAAACTAATAACCCAGATCTTTGGAGGTACAAACTGGGGTAACCTGGGTCATCCTGGAGGGTACACGTCTTACGATGTGGGAGCGGCAATCAAGGAAGATCGACAAGTCACCCGCGAGAAATACAGCGAGCTGAAACTGCAAGCTGCTTTCCTGCAAGCTTCACCTGCCTATCTTCTCTCTTCTCCTCATAATGGAAGCTATGGCACGTACACTGATGTCGATACTTTGTCGACCACTCGACTTTCCACCAATCACACGAACTTCTTCATCGTGCGCCATGGAAATTTAAGCTCGGAGGAAAGTACCTCGTACAAACTTCGAATTCCGACATCTCGTGGAAATCTCACGATTCCTCAGTTGGGCGGCTCTCTTAGCCTGAATGGTCGCGATTCAAAAATTCACGTTGCTGATTACGATGTGGGAGGAATCAACTTGGTCTACTCCACTGCCGAGGTGTTCTCTTGGAAGAAGAGTGGCTCAAAATCTGTCCTTGTGTTATACGGTGGGTTCAACGAGACACATGAACTTGCCGTTCCTACAGCCTTAGGATTGCCATCCAAGTGCGAGGAAGGCGGACTTAATGTCAAGCGTGTGTCCTCTGTTGGAACCATTATACAATGGTCTGTGGAGTCCACTCGGCGTGTGGTCCATTTCAATGACAGATTAGAGATTCATTTGCTATCTCGAAATGACGCTTTCAATTACTGGGTTCTCGACTTGAAACGCCCCGCTCCTCTCAACAGATACGCATCCTCTGAGCGATCCAACAACTCCGTCATTGTGAAGGCCGGGTATCTTCTTCGAACTGCCGATGTCGCTCATAGCGTTCTGCAGCTCAAAGGAGACATCAATGCCACCACTGAAATTGAACTCATTGCAGGACCTCCATCAATATTTTCAATCTACTTCAACGGGAAGAAAGTACCGACTACTGTCTCCAATGGTCGTCTCAGTGGAAACGTCACCTACACGAAAACTGATCTCAAGCTCCCTGATCTAGCTTCCTGCAAGTGGCACTCCTTAGACTCTTTGCCGGAGATCACTCCTGGTTATGACGATAGCAAATGGATAACATGCAACCATACTCGATCTGTCAATCCACGCAACATCACGACGCCTACTTCCCTATACGCTAGTGACTACGGATTCAATGGGGGTTCCCTCCTCTATCGCGGCTCATTTGTTGCAAATGGCTCGGAAGAGTCTCTCTATTTACTCACCGAAGCGGGATATGCATATGCACACGGAGTCTGGATCAACTCCACTTACCTTGGCTCTTGGGAAGGAAGTGCTGCGGACATGTTTTACAATCAAACATTCTCTTTAGGAGAACTCCAGTCTGGAGAAACCTATTTGATCACCGTGCTCATCGATCATATGGGTAATGACGAGAATTTTCCAGCTAATAAACCCATCATGAAGGACCCGAGGGGCATCCTTGACTTTGACCTGCATGGTCGGAGCAAGGAGTCTGTTTCCTGGAAGATAGCGGGCAATATTGGAGGAGAACACTACAGCGATGTCAGTCGCGGTCCTCTTAATGAAGGAAGCATATATGCTGAGCGGCAAGGATACCATCTCCCGGGTACACCTATCAGCAAGTGGGAAGTCAGATCTCCGTTGAATGAGACTTCTGAACCGGGCGTGAAATTCTATGCCACATCCTTCGACCTGAGTATACCGTTGGGATATGATGTTCCGATCAGTGTTGTGTTCACCAATACTACGTCCAACGACTCATCCCCAGCCTCGTTCCGCTCTGAAATGTTTATCAATGGATGGCAGTTTGGCAAATACGGTACGTTGGATAAATTTCCCACTTTGCACCTTGGCTGTGTGAATTATGATCATGCACCGAATTATAACTAACTCCCATAGTTAATAATGTCGGCCCACAAGTGCGATACCCCGTTCCTGAAGGAATCCTCAACTACAACGGAACCAACTACTTCGCCTTAACTATCTGGTCTACGAGCTCGAGCGCATTCTCATTGGCCGGTCTGCAGCTTCAAGCGGATGCGGTCATACAAAGCGGGTATCAAAAGCCCAGTTTGGTTCAAGGGCAGCGGTATGCCAAGCGGTTGAATGCCTACTAGTACTAGTAGAAGTTCTCACCCATGTACCTTGAAACCCAAGGTAGAGTCAGAATGAGTTCCAGGCATATCGGTAATCCATATTTCAACTTTCTCAATCAGTAGGTCGAATGGCCGATGGAATGCTGTTTTGTCAACAAGCGAACATGCAAATTAGGAAGGGAGAAGGAGGCCTGCGAGGCAGAGTAACAATTATTAGCTAGATAAGTGAAGTACATATGTAAGAACGGTACTAGTAGTTGAAGCGTTGCGCTTCCTTATTTAATAATAGCGTTCTTCCCCAGCCCCGATTTCACGACATATGCGATGGCTAAAAACCCTAACACGAAGAAGTCTTCAATAGCAATGAGTAAGTTCACTTTAATCGATCCTCGAATCTGTCTAATCATGAGACTTTACAGAAAACCATTGGCAGATGCTGAATCTCCGAGAACAAAGCAAATGTGGCTTGATTATGATGCCTATAGCCTTCCAAGCCATTCTGATGACGTTGAAATATGCTCTGCATTGAAAGGATTACATTTGTACCGTAGACGCCAGCAACCTCTGGATTCTCAAGGAGCCTGAGTTCACAGAACCTTATATCTAGGGATGGTGAATCACAACCAATTGCAAATACGAAGTGGATTTCAGAATGGTAATAACTTGGAAACGGTGAACTAAAACTGAAGTGTTCTAGTAAATACAAATGATCTCGACTGTAATGATCTCGACGGTAGTGTTCCCATTCAGTGTCACTAATAAATGTTCCTAGTAGGTGCTCGTAACTATTCTGTTTATAGTTCGTTTCTGAAAGAATGACGAGATAGTTAACTACGAGGTGGGCTATTGACCAAGACGAGTTGCCCCAACCTGAAAGACACTGCACGAATTACTATCATCAAATGGGACCAGCCGTTGGTTACACCATTCTATTTCCATTCTCAATCAGATTCTGCTCTGATCGTACGTAGCGTTCGACGGAGCCGAAGCAGAAACCGGACTGCCGATTCGAGGCGTGACGTATAAAAGCTTGGATGCCCTCCAACTCGACTTGTGGAGACGCACACGGTGGTCATGCTCTTAATAACTCATGATGTTCTCTTGTGCGCCATAGCTAGCATTTCGCATATTTCACTGGTATAGTTAATCCTAACCGTAAGTGCTGTGCACGGCAGATACACCACATCACTGGCTTACGAATGGGCCAGAATAGAAGATTAATGATGCATGGAAATGACACCTTGGTCCTGTTCTCTCACACCGGGATAGTACAACTTTATTCGATATCGGAGCTCCAAATCCTGTGAAGCATGTGAGCCCTCAACCAGGATCACGTCTGAGTCAATCTCAACGATATCACTGCTCTGAATTTTGTCATCCTGTTATGATTTCCTCTTTGATTACCTAGGCGAGACCAGTAATATTCAATCTGATAACGAACTGTTTGGTGCTGTATGACATATCCTTAAATTGTATCAGTAAGAAAACAGGGATCAAGAAAACGCGAAAACGGACCGACCATTACCGGTAGTAAAATTCAAGCGTATAGATCCAGCTTTTGACACCAACTTGAATCATCACCAACTCAGTCCTTGAGACCCACTTGAATCGACACCAACTTAGGACTGACTGACCCTGACTCCTTTTCGATACGAATTCGTACTATTATCCCTACTTCACTCATTCTTATCGAGAGACCCTAGGTCTATATAAACCTATATATTTCTCATCGAAGTAGCATCCTTTTCCTCGCGCTGATCTAGTCGAGAAGTCGTCGACTATCTATTCGTGTTGCGATTGCTCATCCCTACTCAACCTTAGCTGTGACCATGCCTCTTATTGAGATATCTATACAATTTGTCGCGGCATCATTGGCTTGTGCTTGTTCTGACTTTTTCTCCTCATGCAGTGTAATTAACGACTGTGGTGTGCTAAGGGTTGACATCGTACATGGATAAGAGCTGCAATGCTTGATGTCCCATATTTTCTTGTGTCTAAGCGTCAGGTTCGCATCTGCACCATTGGTGTGTACCGGTCGTCAAGGCCATTCACGGCAGTTGCGGCTTATATCTGTCGGATTAGTCGGTTTATTCCAGGCCAATCCTGAAGAGTGTTCTACTAGGATCAAAGAAAAGAAGTGACTAGCAAGATTGTATCTGTTGAGTTCTGTGTCTGTCTTTCAAGTCTTTAAAGCCGGGTCCTTTATAGACACCTTTGGCGGGGTGATTTGTGAGCTATCAGGAGGGGTAAATATTGGGCTGAAATCTAGGTGCCCAGATATATGCCTAAAGGTGCCTTTTAGACCTGTAAGATTGAACAGTCGATCTTTCTACCTCGTTTGAAAGCCGGATTATCTAACACACCCCCTCAGCTGCAGAAAATAACTGCTTGCAAAGCTGGAATAGCTTCATAAGTTGTCGGGCACGTCATTGAGAGAAAGTAATTCTTCGATATCTGGGTTCTCCATATCCTTTTGCTGGAGAGTGAGATAGCTGTCAATATCCTCTACTCCAATTTAATTAAGGAACTTTTGGTGTTCCTGTTTGCTGAGTGCCTTGGTCAGGCCATTGGCAATCATATCTTTTGTAGGCATGTAGTGCACTTGGATGTCTCCCTTCTGTACCTCTTGTTGTACCCAGTGATTATGAATATTGATGTGTCAGAGCTTTGTACGCAGTCGTGGAGCGTCCTTCTCCAGCAATCCTAGAGTTTGCTGGTTATCGCAGAAAATGTGAAGAGTAGGTGTTCTAAAATGTATCTCCAACTCTAGAAGCAATTGAAGGACATATTTGTCTTCTTTTACCCTCTGAGCGAGAGTTAATAGTTTAGCTTTAGTGGTTGATGTTGTTACTGTATTCTGCTTGTTTACTTGCCATCCTATTATTCTACTAAAAAGTGTTATGACGTATGCTTGCGAGCTCTTACGGTCAAGTATATTATTTGTAAAGGAGGCGTCTATTGATACTGAATAAGCTTTACCTCCTCTAAGCGTCAAGGCGTACACACAATGACGTTCGAGGTAGCATAAAATCTTGTCAGCAGCTTAATGGTGCTTTAGTCTAGGATTTGATAAGAACTATGAAAGCTGTGAGACAGCAAAAACCACGTCAGGTCGAGTGCTTACTGCCGTGTACATAATTGAGCCAACTTTTCGTTAATATTGATGGTTACTTTTGTAGGTGGCTGTTCCTTTGTATAGGAGTAATTCTTCTTGAGCCATTGGTGTATCATTAGTTTGTCAAGTGTTGGCTAACTTCGCAATTTTATCGATATAGGTGGCTTGACTGAGCCAGATCACCTTATTACTTTGATCCCATATAACTCTCATACCTAGGAACCACTCCAGGTCTCCCCCTCCAGATATTTTGTATTTGGCACGAAGTTGGTTCATAACTGAGTCAGCTTCTGATTGGTGGCTCTTCTTATATGCGACAATGATATCATCTACATAAAAGAATAGTATAATCCCAGATTTCAATATATAACACAGTTCATGAGGCACTATTTTGAAACCCAACTCTACAAGGGTGCTGATAAGTTTCTTTTGCTATAGGAGTGGTGATCTACGCAATCCATAGAGAGCCTTGTTCAGTCGATATATTTTTCCAGACTCACAATATCTAGGAGCCATTCTCATAAAGATCTCTTCGTCCAGTATGGCATTAACAAAGGCATTGACAGCGTCATATTACTTAAGTTCTAGATTGAAGCGCGCAGTAATAGTCATAAATGTCCTAAAAGATCTTGCAGCAAGAGTAGCAGCATACGTGTCCCTTATATTATCTCTTTTCTCTTGATTACCTCTTACCATGAGTCGTGCCTTGCACTTGACTAGACGACCTTTCTTGTCCTGCTTATAGACATATACCCATATACAATTAAGAATCTGCTTTCCTTTTGCCTTACCGATAGGCACCGTTGTCCAAGAGCCAGATGGATCGTGACTTTTAAGGTGATCTCTCTTAGCCTTCTCAAATAACCAACCTAAAGGATGTTTTTCCACTTCATGGTGACTCTTGGGAGCAGGCAGTAGGTCGCAGACTAGAACTGACTGAAGTCGATGTCCTGATCTTAGACGTCGTTGGAGGCTCACGTGATTAAATTTGACTGTGTTTACCTCATACTAACAATGTTATGTGCCTGCTAGAAAAGCAAACCTCTAAGGATTGAGCTCTCCTTGTTGCGTAGTTAAAGCAGCGGTGACAGTTTTAACAGGAGCCTCTCTGAAGCCTACCCTGTTCTTCTCAAGCGACCCTCTGGGTCTGTCCTCAAGGATATGCCTACCATGAGCCTCTCTGAGATCTACCATGGAGTCACGCAGATTGGGCGACCCTCTAGGCCTATCCCCAAACTCAGCACGCGATCCTCTGGACCTGACTATGCTTACACTATCAAGAGCCCCTCTGGGACCTTCCTTGGTGGTTACTTCCTGAATGAGCAACCCTCTGGGCCTGACCCCGCCAGTTAATATTCTAGCTATATGCTTAGAGCTCTGATGGAGGTTAAGGTCATTTTCATAGATGATAGTTATACTAGCCACCAACAGTGCGCTCAGAGGCGTATCTGGAGGTGTAACTCCTATCAGAGCCTAACCCCG